TATTGGAGGGGCAACATAGAACAAATACTGGAACACTTAGCAGATGTTTTATGGGAGATATGAAGACTGATGGTGATAAGAATTAGTGTGACAAATACACTTATGCATGCAGTAGATCTGTTCAACTTTTGTTATTTAATATGGTGTTTCCAGTGACAAAATTGCATATGTGGGTAGTATAATCTTGAAAGGTAGTATTAGTTCATGTAACTAGTATTTCAGACCATGTAGAGGAAGAATCTCAAATTGCTCCCATCGCTGGTTTGGAAATAGTATAGTCTCTAGTGGAAATGATCTTTCATTGTGGGCTCTGAAGCATGTAGTTAATTTCAGATATGAAGTAAGGAAAGTCACACTTAAATTGTGAGGTTTGAGGGGAAAATGACCCAAGGAAACAGCTGCTTCATGCAGTGCAAACTGGCTAGATTTTTTGGTTGTAAGTTTCTCTTTAGTTGCCTTGGGCAAGATAAAGCAACTAATAAATGTAATAAATAATAATAATTTCCCAACTTCCTGTAAAGCTGCGTATTAATCAGACAGAGGTAGCTTGCCTAATTGGCATAGGATGTGCTTATCTCACATGATCAACTTTTTTGGGCTTAAAAAAAATAATCCATGGAGGTACACAATGGATCCACTGGTTACCTTGAGCATGTGAACAGTTTTTTAAGAGTTCAACTAGGCAGAAACAGAAAGTGAGAGTGCTACTCTGAATGAATATGAGACTGGGTGGTGGTAGTTTGATTCCATAAGACTTGCATCTGGTCTGCAAATGTCTGCTTTTCTTAATAACGAAGAGACAAGGAATTCCACAGGGCACTAAAGCTCTTTGAGGACAAGTAATCCAAGCGAGCCCTTCTCTTTAGAAGTTTCACCAGGCCTTGTGCATGCAATTGCTGATCCTTTCTTTACAAGGACTAAAACATGTATTTTGTTTTGCTTTGCTTTGACTGGTAAGCTGAGATTCTTGGGAAGGTGAATTCTCTAGCCAGCCTCAAAAAATGCACATTTTTCCTGTGTTTGCAGTTTTCTGTACTGCATGCACAGCCTTGATGAGTCAGAATCCATATTCTTTATACAGTGGGAATTAGATGATGGTTAAAGTCTTTTCAAGAATTGAGTACCTGTAGGATCTGAACTCAAGTTTCTATCAGACCAGAGTACATCATATGGTGCATATCAGCATTAGAGTCTGAAGGTGACTAAAGAAAGGAACTACACATGGGATAAAAATTGTCTTTTTTCTTTGTTTAAAGACGTTTCTGTGTTAATTTTCCTGTTGACTTTAAGGTTATAATGTTAGCATTTTAATGTCATCTTTTTTGCTTTTACCAGGTTGCAGAAGGTCAGGAGGTCTGTGTGATTGAAGCCATGAAAATGCAGAACAGTTTGGTTGCTGCTAAAACTGGCAAGGTATGTCCAGTCAGACTACTAGATGTTTTATGTCACTTGTCAAGTTGAGCACAAGCTTTATTTTTGAAAATAGATTTTATTATCGGCATCAATCTTGAACCTTATTGCACTGTTCTGTAACTGTATGGTGACGCACACACTTGATTTCACAAATGTTTATCAAATGTTCAGAATTATTTGTCTTGGCTGCAGCCTTTCTGTTCAGATTTGGCCTAGGCTACAATCCAATAGAGTTACAGTAGATGCACTTTGAGTCAAGTGTGCTTGTGCTGGATTGTGGCCCTAGAAATCAGAATTCGTGCCTTTGTAATTTCACTAATTGTTCAGCTAGGCCAGAGGAAGGCAACCTAAGGCCTGGGGGCCCGATGTGGCCCAACCACCTTCTCAATCCGGCCTGCGGACGGTCTGGGAATCAGCGTGTTTTTACATGAGTAGAATGTGTCCTTTTATTTAAAATGCATCTCTGGGTTATGAACTGGCATAGGAATTCATTCATATTTTCCCCCAAAATATAGTCCGGCCCACCACATAGTCTGAGAGACGGTGGACCGTTCCACGGCTGAAAAAGGTTGCTGACCCCTGAGCTAGGCAGTCCCAAAACATGTCATGCACAAACAGACTTTAGGACCACAATGCAGAAAACTTTACACACAAGCAGTGCTTCTTTTTAAAACAAACAGTTCACTGCCCCTTCACGAGCTAAGCTTTTAAAAGTGCTTCATCCCAGTGGGTATGTGGAGGTAGTCACAAGGTTCTTTAGGTTGTTAGGATACTGCAAAATACTTAGGAGGTGTCATCTCTGCTTTTGCTTTTCCTAAATTACCAGGCACAGTGCAAGTCCCATTTTTAAGCCCTATTGAGGTATTCGATGTCTATTTGTAATCAGGATTCTAAACAACACAAGGAGCCTCCCTAAGTACAGGAGGCAGCCCACTTCAGCACTTGATTCTTCAACTCATGGAGGGATGAAAAAAGCAGATGAGGATGTGCCAGAAGGAATGGGGCTTGGCAGTGTGCCCCTGCTGTTCCTCACATGACTGTGATTGTGCATAGACACTGAATACTCAGACAGGGCGATACTCACGAATAGAGAAATGTCAGACACATTTGTGTGTCTGCACAGATGGTAACTGGAAACAACTGTAGTTACAGTTAAGCAACCTTTAAAAAAATATTTCAATGGAATTAATGTGTGTTAGTAGTTCTTGTTTACAGAACCTTTGTGAAAATACATTATTTGGTACAAAACAGTTCCTGGTAGGCAATTTATAAGTGGCCTGGGTTTGTTTTTGTCTAGTGCGTGTATTAGGGCTGGGTGATACCAGCTTTTCAACATTGTGGTGTATCGCCAGTAAAACCTCATGGTTTGGTGATATACCGTGATGCTGAAAAAACAGCTGCATTGGTCTCTGCCCACGAGGCACCGGCTGAAACTGCCCCAGCTCTCACCATGAGAGCTGAGGTGGTTTCACCCAGGCGCTTGTGGGCTTAGCTGGGAATCAGGAAGGCTTCCCCTTCCCAAATGAGACAGCCCCGGTGTGAGCAGGCAGAGCGTTGGGGCTCCTTTAACTGCTTGCTGTGGGGAGCGGCACCTGCACAGTTTCATGGAGCCACCAGCTCACAAGAGCCAGCCCGGGGCTTGGTGCTCCTTTAACTGCTTGGCTGAGGCAAGGGCAACTGCACAGTCCAGCAGTCTAAAGATGCACCTCACTGATACAGCTTGTTTCTCCCTCTGTGCCGTATGAGGGCAGAGTTTGGATGGTGGCTTCACTTCGCGGTATATCGCTGGTGAAACCACCTCCTCTCCCGAGTCCCTCTTCTAGCAGCACCCGCTGGAGGAAGGCACTCTTTACTCCCTCCAGCAGACGGACTCGGTGGCGGTCTGCTTCTCATACTGGTCCTGGGTGATATATCGCCCAGGCCTAGTGTGTATTTGAATTTTAAAGCCCATTTCTACATAAATGGTTATATGACATTTACAGTTGGGGCGGGGGGACCAACCAAACCTCTTGTGCTCCAAAATGCATAGTTTGTAGATTTACCGTATTTTTTGCTCTATAAGAATCACTTCTTCCCTCCTAAAAAGTGAGGGGAAATGTGTGTGCGTCTTATGGAGCGAATGCAGGCAGCGCAGCTATCCCAGAAGCCAGAACAGCAAGAGGGATTGCTGCTTTCACTGCGCAGTGATCCCTCTGCTGTTCTGGCTTCTGAGATTCAGAATCCCCCCCCCCCTTGTTTTCCTCCTCCAAAAACTAGGTGCGTCTTGTGGTCTGGTGCATCTTATAGAGCGAAAAATACGGTACTTTGGCACAAGCACCAAACGTGATTGACGATAAAAATTCTAAACAACTGCAGCAATGAAAAGCAACAAACAAAACCAGCATCAAGCACAGTGCTATTTTAAAATAGTGTAAAAATTGTCTGATATTTACCAAAATCACCTTTAAAAAATCCAGATGTTAAAACACAGAGAAAAACAAACTTCTTAAAGTGTTTTGGATAGAATGGAAGCACAATTAAAAACTTGGGCAATGTGTTTGATTATGTTCCAGGACATGCTTTTTAGATTTCTGTTTCATGTTTTATAAGGTCTTTAAAATGGAAATCTACCACTTATTTTCTTTGCACAGCCAACTGCAATTAAAAAAAGATTCTTGGCCTTGTTTTCAGAATCAAATTGATTTTTTTTTCCTTTGCGCTGCAGGTGAAAGCTGTACATTGCAAAGCTGGTGAAACTGTCGGAGAAGGAGATGAGCTTGTGGAACTGGAATGAAACTATTTATTTCATATGTTGCCACAATTGACTAGCACCTTCTATGTTCCTCCACAAATTCAAATGAACATTAAGGTAGCAAGCAAATTATGTAAACTAAAATGATGCGATGGTATTTTTTTAAACTATCTTAAACAAGAGGCAAGGGTCCATATGGTTTACCTTGCTGAGACTGAACTTAAAATTGCCTCTGGATCTCATATCACTCCTTTTATAAATACCTGTACATAAGGGATTTGTAATTCTCTTCTGCAGTTCTACTGCTATTAAACAAATTAATAAAAGCATTTTTGCATATAAACTGTGTCATTTAAAGCCTTCACAACTTTGGTACTTTAACCTAAAACTGGGTCTCCACATGTAACAACAGAAATAACTTTGTACTGACTCCCCTACCTGTATACCAGTTTTATAAAAAATAAGCAAAGGGTGAGTTTTAATTGGCCAGTAGGCATGGGGAACCTCTACCTCATGGGCTAAACTAAACCTGACAATGATCCTGACATTATATATGACCTCAGGCGTGGGGCAGGAAAAGATATGACTGCAAAGCAACAATCAGGAGTCTTAAGGAAGTTCCCACTTCTTCCTTGGCAAGTGACACTTGTATTCAGTACCGTTTAAATCTGGTGTGAAATGCAAGCCCCACGGGGATTGGTTTTACTCAGGAGCCTCCAGCTGGGAACTCCTGAGTGCAGCTGCTCCCTACTGAAACTAGGGCTGGAAGCTCATCATGAGAACAAACAGACCCTAGCCTGATCCTGTTTATCACCCCACACCAGGTGCATGCACTGACATAACTCTTGTGACTATACTAGTGTCCTACACAGCAAGTCCCCACATCTAGATTTAATTTACTATAATAATGACAAATGTTTTAAGTAAATCATACTAAGCAGTTTTTTAAGTAATACAAATGTACACAATTTTAAAAATATCTATTACAAATTTTCTCATTATTTACAGTCAAAGATTAATAAACTGAATTTTGTCAAAATTTATACCACTATCACTCTACAATTAAAGCAATCTGCCATCACCTTATTTTTACTTGGAAGCCTAACATTAAAGCAAAAGAATGAATAGACTGCATAAGAGAGAAAGCTGAAACAAAGACATGAACACCAGTGAGCAATTGTATGTGTACAACCTTAAATAGTAGGATAATTAATACAATAGTAGGAGTAGCATTGTGTGTCTAATTAATATCAGGAACTGCTCTGCCCTTCAGTTGTACAGCAAGGTCACATTGGGTACTTAAGGAATATAACCAACCTTAAAAACTGCTTTCTTGCAGTTTTCTTGAGAATCTGCCTTCTTCCCTGCTGGCATATTTCAAAATTCTGAGCTATAAATGAAAAGAGGTTGATTCTGTTCAGTAGTCTGTGGTCATTTATGGAGCTGAAACAGGCAGGAGGAGAATGTAAATATACTAAAACCTAATGAATAGAACTCCTGCCAACCTAGCAGTGTGAAAGCACGTCAAAGTGCAAGTAGATAAATAGGTACCACTCCAGCGGGAAGGTAAACGGCGTTTCCGTGTGCTGCTCTGGTTTGCCAGAAGCGGCTTAGCTGTATGCCGGCTCCCTCAGCCAATAAAGCGAGATGAGCACCGCAACCCCAGAGTCGATCACGACTGGACCTAATGGTTAGGGGTCCCTTTACCTTTTTAATGAATAGAAACTATGATGTCCAGAAAGGTGGACAAATAAATGAAGATGCAGAGGACTCCACATCACTTGGACTTCACTTTGTGAGTCAGTATTCTTAGTTCTTTCCAATTCCTGAACCATAACTTTCTCTGGAGCTCTTAAGACCCATTTGACAAATCTGGCTCCTAGCAGCACTATGATGTCAACTCATTTCCATTCACAGATTTCGTAGTCATGCTAGTGATATACTGCCTGCAGGATCAGAGGTAACATGCCTCTAATATCACTTGCTGGGAACAGCAGCAGGAGAGGTACATGGCCTTTCTGATCTGCTTGTAGGTCTCACATAGGCATCCGCCTGGCCCGTGTGAGCAAAAGGATGCTGGCCTAAGTAGGCCTTTTTTCTCATCAAGCAGGGCTGTTCTTAAGTTTTTAACTTGTTGTTCCAGAGCAATGCCACTCCAGAACAATGCCACGTATAATGAGAGCCTGATGCTCTCATCATTTTTGCCCTCCATGCCCACTTAGAGCACCTGAAAGCCAGAGGACTGGACTTTGAGGGCATCAGCAAAGAGAATTCCCTTAGCGAACTCATTTGTCTCACAGTGCTTGATTAATGGATCTCTTACAAGGGCCATTTCCTTGCTTATGTGAAGGTTGTACAGTAATGCAAACAGTTTGTTGTAAGCTGGAGGTTCTTTATCCCCCGGTACATTGCTAGAAATACTGCAGTATTTTATCTTTGCTTTGCAAAACAGTATTCCCCCCTCCACCTCTTGATCAAGTTTTAAACAGAGAACTACAGAATTAAAGACACACCATCCATGCATCTTGCATGACTAGGCAAGTTTAGTCTGAAAACCTGACTGGACCCCAAAATATTGGCTTGAAGGCAACTATATTATGGTCTGAAACATTAGTGCTTACTTTCTGTAAAAATGCTAGAGATTTTACTCAACTTCTTGATAATATGTCCATATCAGCTTTTACCTTCCAGTTTCAATCTCTGCTTTCCCTTAGTACATATGGAAGCCCGTGTTTCCCAAAGGAATCATAGTTGTCATAGTAAGGGAGATGTATCCATTCTGGCTGGTAAGTGGTGGTGCTATACACATAGCATTCCAGGATGCTGTTAACAGCTGGCGTCCCTTCAGGTGGACTACTTTCATCTTCCTGCTCAACTACTTCAATTCTCACTGGGGTTCGCTGATACATGTCTGGACAACTTTCAAACTCATCAAGGAATTGCAACATCTGGTCATTGACAGCATAAATCTCTCCAGTGACACGGTGTCCCGTTCCTGGGATATTCAGCAAATAAGGAACGTTGTATTTCCCGGCAATCACTAGGGGGTATTTCTCCACTGTGAGCCCCCTGCCCTGGAATCTGGCTGTCCCATTAGCACCATTTATCATGTACGGGTAGTTGGGCTGGCCTTTCTTAAGGGTCCCGTAGACAAAGACACGAACCATGCCTCTGACGAAAGGAACTGAAATAAACAAAAACAAGCTTTGATACATTATCGCACTTTGAGTAAACATTGTTCCTTAAAAGCTTGTTATTACAGCAATATTTAGCAAATACGGTTGCTTTAAAACAATCCAAGGAATACAAGCTGGCTATTTTTCTAACTCCAGTTATAATTTACAATACAAGTGTCAAAAGGAAGAAAGCAAAGATCATAGCAAAAATAAGAAACAGTTGCTTGTTGTTCGACAGCAAGCACTCCAGTTATCAGTTCACACTGTCCAATTCCTTCATGTAATAGTGTATGCGGTCACAAGATTCGTTATGAACAGGGCCATCTAATCTAAGCAACCATTTTCAGGATCCCGTTGTTTTCAGCATGTATGTACAACCCAACTCTTTCTGCAAGTGAGCATGTATGTGGTTGGTTTGGTTACTGTATACGAATTCCAGTTGACATACTCATTACCAAAAGTTATGACAGGCCTTCATGTACATGATGTAGCCATTATGTACAGTACCTGCCCTGCAATCTGTGTATTAAATATGTCTCAGAAGCAATCTGTTAAAAAAAAAAGTCATTTTTAAAATAAAGTCTATGAATGATCAATAATTCTAAAACGCAATTATTACAATCCCTGTGAATGCAAAGGTGGTATGTTATTTTAACAATGCTACCTCCTTGGGTCCAACAGATATTAAAACAAATTCACAGGAGGGGTGTGTGCAAGTTTGGAATATTCAGCAAAATACTGGTCCAGCTCTGGAAATCCATAAGCCACCAAAGGATTGTATGTGAAATACACCACCACTTTTGAAAGTAGAGAAAAGGATACAAAGTCAGTGTCACTTAAATATTGCTCCCAAAAAATCCTCACCCCGTTGGGGTTAGTGTATTTAATTCTTATTATTTCCATTTATAGACCACTTACAGTCTGAAAGAGACAAAGAAACACACAAAACATTTTTCATTGCTCTTAGTTCCAAGGTATACCAAAGAGTAGAACAGGCTCCACAATGCCAACCAAGACACTTGGGGGTGACAGTGTCAAGAGCTCTACACACACTCTGGGAAGGCCAGCCTTTAGTCAATTACAACCTTCAGGTCAGTGGCATCAATCTCACCATGTAAGGGGGACTGGGTTTTTATACCCCAACCCATCTAGGAGCTGATGCAAGAGGTTGAAAAAAGCCTCATTCCAAGGGCAGCCATTTTCTCGGCTCTTGGTCAGACAAGCCCCTAATTCTTACTCCAGCTTTAAAGCAGAGGTTGAATTTCAGCTTCCCCAAAAGTCAAATTTGCAAGGCTTACACAGTGGTCACTGCTCATATCCTGCCAAAGACCTAGCCTTCATTGCATTACACCATTTCCAAAAATGTTTGATGTTTCTCACCAGGAGATGTCTGTCACAGATTGTGACTCTAGCTTTTGGCATGAGTGTGGCGCTAGTGTTTTGCAATACACCTGGCTGACTAGTTTGATGTTCTATTTTGGGAACAGCTTTCCCAGTGTAGGGCAAAAGAGCCTCCAATTTACTAAAGTAATGAAAAGGTTTCCATTTTATTCCTTGGCTACTGTTCAAAGTATTCTGCCTCCCAGATGAACCTTTCTCCCTCCCTTCATGATGTTTCTGTCCAACTAAAGCCCAGAACATCTGATGCTTCCCCAAATTTTGCTATCAGTCATGAACTGCTAGGAGAGACAGTCTCTCCCCCCCCCCCCAACACAGCAGTTTGGTCTTTAATTGCCAGATGCAGAAAATCTTCAGAAGGTGAGCAGGACACCTGGCCCTCACTTTACACAGAGGGTCATTATGAGGCATATTCAATTTTTTCCTATTCTTTCATAACAGTTCATTTATTTATTAAGGGAGGATGTAGTGCATATTTTTCTGAATAAAAAGCAGAGCAACATTTCATCATTGTGGTTCAAGAGGTTTACTTTCAGAGAATGTTAAGATTAAGAGAGCCAGGGTGATAGAATAGAGAAGAGACTGTGCTTCCAGTCTAGTCATTTTGTGTGGAATGGCCATGCTCCATTCGCTCCCTAATTACAGGGCATTCACAAAATACTATCTGAGAAGACATCCAATTATTGTGTTCCTGTTTTTCCCCTGCAATTTTTCTGTCTTCTTGGACAGTCTTTTCTCATGCCCACTCCCTCAAAATTCAGAAGAACAGAAGGGTTGCTCAGCCTCCCCCGTACAGATGTCTTTAGCACTATTCTTGTTAAAAGGGTGTGGCTTTGATGTGGGCCATGACCTATCAGGAAAGTGAACCTATCGCCACTTAGCACATATTAGAACATTTGTGATGGGTGTCACTTAATGACCCAATTTGGGTGTCCCCCCTCAGTCAGTTGAGGAAAAGCATGATTATAACACCATAATGCTCTAATTGTGATGTTGTAACATCATAAATATCTCACTTTTATGTAATAAAAAACTGGAGAAAACTGGGAAATTATTTTAGCTCAATTTAAAAAGTTAGAATGGGCTCATAAAACAGTAACTCCCACAACAGTTAGCAGTGAATATGTGCTGGGCAGCACGTGGCCCAACCCACAGCAATGATGTCACATGCACTGGTGTGGATACAGCATAGATGTAGAAACAAAAAAGTGCACTACTCCCAACAGTGTGCAAAGTCAATTAAAATTCAATTCAAACATTATAAACAGAAGACCTGGCTAGCACAAGGAGGTCTGTCTGGAAGCAACCTAAGACTAAAAAAATTAAGATGGCTTCTCCAAAGGTACGTCCTGATTTCCTTACCTTTTTAAGATTTCTCAGATAGTATCTACAAGCATGTTGACAGGGGTGATCCAGTAGGCATTATATACTTGTGAAACCTGCATACCCTCCAACATTTCTCCAATGAAAATAGAGATGTCCTATTTCTTCATAATAATCATAATCCAACATATATTAAAAAAAATTTAAATCCCTATATAGGGCTGTCTTCAGATGTCTTCTAAAGGTTGTATAATTACTTATCTCCTTGGGTTGGGGTCACATAACTCCATACCTTCCAACATTTATCTTATGGAAAGAGGGACATCCTAAGGAAAAGGAGGACACTCCAGGATCAAATCTGAAACCAGGACGGCTTCTGTAAATCTGGGACTGTCCCTGGAAAATAAGGACACTTGGAGGGTCTGAACCTGCAGAGTCCCAGCAACTGCCTCTACCAGGGAGTACGTAGGCCTCACAAAAGCCTTTAACAATTCATTTCACATGCATTTCACAAGCCATTCTCTCTTGACACACAATCTGGAAATTACCAGTGTAGCACCTACAAACATGACCCTAGCAGTCCTTGGTTCCATTCCCATCTCCCTAGTTGAGAGTCAGTGTGGACTCAAGATCAGAGTTTTAGTCTATAGCTAGGGAGGCATATTCAAATTCTCCATTAGCTAACCAAGGGAATTTTGGGCCAGTCGCTGGCTCCACTGGCGGAGGAAGAGGAGTGCGGGGGGAGCGCACCGCTCCCAGCAGCGTGAACCCGGCAGGGTGCCATTGCGGCTCCCCCCCCGCCTGCGCTAGGAACCCTGCCCTCGCAGGCGGCACACCCCGCCCCCCAGGACGTGTGCCAGCCCTGCCCCCACCTGCTCTCTGCCCCCCCCCACCGGTGCTGGAGCATGAAGCTATGCCACTGGCTGGCTCTAGCCTAGCCTAATTCACAGGTTGTTGGGAGGATAAGAAGGGGAAGAAGAGTAACATATATACTGTCTTCAGATTCCTGGAGGAACAGAGATAGAAATAAAACACAGTAAAATAAGGTTGGCAGGGAAAATTTATCAGGCTCAGCTCCTCATACACTATGGAAATTGACAGCGTTTCTGTGAAACCCTTTACACACTCAAAAAGCACTGCTGAAAAATTCCAAGAGAAAATTAAGCTTACTGGGTCAAAGGGTTGCCTTTTAAAAAAATACATCCCCTTTGACCACCAGGACTTAACATTGTTCTTATACACCTCAGTGCTGTAGAAATGAATACTATTTTACGAAAACACAAGGCTCTTCTCTCAAAACCACGGTGCTGTCTTTCCAAAATGCCACCCTGTTTTGCCCTGATATTTCATCCACTTTCAGCATTGTATGTTTACCCTTCATGACATCAAATGGGTTAAGAGGCTACAGCTTGTTCTCCTACAAAGGAAAGAACATTGGGTTGCTCCAGTTCCTCTTTGGGAGGAAAAAAAAATCATTATCTTTCAGATTGTGTTTTGAATAACAAACACAGACCCTTTAGGAAGAAACTTGTCCCAGTGGGAATTGAGAGAGGATCAGAGTTAAGCACTGAAACATGCAATTAATTCCCATTAGGGGATTAGGGCACTCATGTTCACTTTGAATCAGAAAAAGTGAATTGTGAATTAAATTGTTCACAACCAAGAGGTTACTTGTCAGAGTTAATAAGTTAAAATATAAAAAGGGGAAATGAAAATGCACATTAAAATCTCCATAGTAAGTACAGCATCTGCCCACAAAAGATATGCTTCATTTACATTAAGCAATTTCTTTACTGTGCATATGAAGCTATACTTTTTGTGGGGGGAGGGATAAGTTTCTTAAAGGAAGAAATCAGAAATAGTTCCTCGCATCTGCAAAGGTTCTGCTAAACATTCTGTGTTCTTATTTTGTTATTTTGTTCTATGTCTTGGATTCTATTCTTATTTGTCTCTTGTAGGTTAGTGTTAAAGTCTGTAGCAAAAGCATGGCAAAATTGGATTGGCATTCCTTCATATATACAGCAAACAAGTTCCGCTTTGCACAGTAGCCCATCACCTTTGCCAACTTTATGTTAAATGTCAGTTTCATTGCCTGGTTCTTTGCCATAGCCTTTACAACCAGGTACCTAATGTGAAACGTTTTCCAATTTTTAATCAATTCCATCCATGCTGCAACTAACATGAAACATATCTAGGGCTTATGCAGGGTATTTTTGTTCTTTCCATCCCAAATATTTAGGAGCATCATCAATGGGCATAATGTTACCTCCTGTTTATTTATTTATTACACCCCTACAGGTCATATCACAGTAGGTCACTACTTGCAGACAATCTCACCACATATAGAGATGAGAACCTCTTTGACCATATTTTCTCCAGCAGTTACAACCAGTGTTAGAAACTTTTCATCAAATGGCACCTTAAACCCAGGTTAAAGTTGCCACAATGGAATGTCTAGACACCTTTTTTTGCAGTGAAATCTGTTCTAATTTTTTTTGCTGTTGTTGATACCAAACAACAAAGGGATCTAACAAAAAAACTGGTAAGTGCAATAACTTCATAAAAACGAACACTCTTTTACACGCAAGGAAAAAAGGTAAATGACCCCTGTACAATTAAGTCCAGTCAAAGGTGCCTATGGGGTGCGGCACTCATCTCGCTTCAGGTCGAGGGAGCTGGCATTTGTGCATAGATAGCTTTCCGGGTCATGCAGTCAGCATGACTAAACCGCTTCTGGCACAACGGGACACTGTGACGAGTGCCAGAGCACATAGAAACACTGTTTATCTTCAAGCCGCAGCACCTATTTATCTACTTGCACAGGTATGCTTTCGAACTGCTAGGTTGGCAACAGCTGGGACAAAGCAATGGAAGCTCATCCTGTTGCGTGGATTCGAACCGCCGACCTTTCAATCAGCAAGTTTAGACCTCAGCGCCACCCATGTTCCACTTTTACACGTACCCTATGTCCACACCCAGATTGTCAGTTTATCACACCCCAACCTCTTTTTAACATTCACTTCTTCCTCCTAGAACATCTTCCCTCTCTATTCCTAGATCATTATTACTTTTGGAGCTGCTGGCACATCCGTCCAACCAAAAACCTACTGCATGGCCATGGGATGGATGGCAGTTCAGAGACCCACTGGTGATCCCCAACCCAGTTCGAGAATAGCTGTGCAGGGAACATAAAAACTTGATAACTGTTTTGTGCTATTTTAGGTGGTCCTAACAACAGAGCCTAGGGCTTGCCGATCAGAAGGTCGACGGTTCAAATCCCCGCGACGGGGTGAGCTCCCGTTGCTTGGTCCCAGCTCCTGCCAACCTAGCAGTTCGAAAGCACGTCAAAGTGCAAGTAGATAAATAGGTACCGCTCCAGCGGGAAGGTAAACAGCATTTCCGTACACTGCTCTGGTTCGCCAGAAGCTGCTTAGTCATGCTGGCCACATGACCAGTACACCGGCTCCCTCAGCCAATAAAGCGAGATGAGCGCCGCAACCCCAGAGTCGTTCGCAACTGGACCTAATGGTCAGGGGTACCTTTACCTTTACCTTAACAACAGTGCAGCTTTTTGGATTTTTTGCTAATGGCTATGCAAATATTTCATATGCTATTCAAAAGTTAACAGACTGATTTCAAAAGAAATCAGACTAACCTTGAAACCTTCATTTTCTTCAGTCATTTGTATAAAACAACCCTTTCACTAGCATTCAAAGGTTATTTAGCCACCTTGTGGCAAAAATAAAGAATAGTATTTAATACTGAGTTTCATATGAGCTGTCAAAAAACAAAACAACTCTCCACCCCCCAACATCAGGCTTCACAATGGCTGAAATAAAATGTGCTTTTCCTTGTAATCAAAGATCGAAAGTTGATGTTCCAACACTTCACCAATTTCGCCTAGAGAGAAATCAGGCTTTATAATGTACAATATCCTCCAGGACAAAACAACCTATTCAAAAAGATACTGTCATGAAATATTCATAGTGCAGTCATTAAAGTTTAATATCCTGGGAAAATGAGTGAAATCTGTATGTCATCTCTTCAAGCGATTTCTTTTAACTACGACTGACAGCCTATCCAATTGTTGGTACAACTGATTTGCTTAGGACTATATTTTAAAAAGGGGATGCAAAAAATGACAGAATGTAAAGGCATATTGTGCAACTTGAGAACACCCTTGGCAAACACAACAAGGATCCCCCACCCAGGCCAACTGTACATTTCAGACTGTACATTTATTTTAACTAGCTAGTTTAATCGTTAATTTCTATTTGTGATTTCTTTTTGGAGGGGCTGGCTAAAAGTATATATATGTAATATGAGAAGTGGTATAGTACCCAAGACTGCACAGTGTGAAGACTGTTTCAGTCTAACCTGTCACAACCTCTTAGGCAGCTTTAAGCAAACCACTACCTCCAAACCCCACCTGCCACAATAAGATGATAATAAAAGCTTATCTAACCTTACAGGGTTGTTGTTAAGATTTACATTTACAGAACTAGTGGGAGTGTAATCCTATGAACACATATTATCAAGTAAATGTAATGAAAAGTGGGATTTACTTCCACATATATATATATATATACATATATATATGATTTTGTTTTAAAAACACTAATTTGAATGTCCTTTACTTATTTTTCAGTTAGCAGAGGGCAGCAGTATGACGCAGTATATGTGGAGGAGAATGTCTATATACAGTCCTGTACATGTGGCAGCGACTCACATACACTAGAGAAAATAAATGGCTACACTCCACTGGTGGCAGATCCCTGTGTCTTCAGAAAAGTAGGTTCTCTCTCTTTGTTCCAGTTTAGTGTATTTATACTGTCCCATAGAGCTGGGTATGACTGTAGCTCAGTGGCAGAACATCTGCTTTGCATGCAGAAGGTCCCAGGTACTATTCCTGGCATCTGGCAGGACTGGAAATATACTGTCTGAAACCCTGAAGAACCACTGCCAGCCAGTGTGGACAATATTGACCTGGATGGACCTGTGGTTTGCCTTGGTTTAAGGTAGATTACTGTGTTCTTATGTTCCTAACTTAAAGAGAGCCACTGACATACAAGCCAGCTCTCCATTGCCTAGCTCTGCCTTGGGTTTCCATTTTGTGGCCCTCATGTACAGTACACTTGCAACATACGTGCATTTAACTTGTACACATTCAGCTTTATGTGCTTGGCATAAAATAAAAGGAGGTAGATGTCGTGGGGGGGCCTTGCAAAAAGTTGCAGCCTTACTGTACACTAAAACACATATCTGTTCTCAGTATTCTAAAGAATTCAGGATGGTGCTAACTAGACAGACAGAGGCAGGTTCAGTGTACTCCCCAGGGATGTCTCTGGGTAGATCCTCTCCCCTTAAGCAAATGTTGCCATTCACTTCTCTAGGACAAGTAAGGAGTTGCATTTGGAGACAGATTAAGGCAAAATCTTCTCTCTCCGCACAGTGAGTGGTCTGGGCTTACTGAGTGAGAACTCCTGTGGGGTGTGTGATGCTGTGTAGAGGGTGCCACAGCCACACTGCACTCCACAAGGGTCTTTGCAACATATAAACACTTTCTTGGTTTGCACTCCACTTTTGCTGGCTCATCTGTATCAGCCACTTCTCAGGAGACTGGGCCAGGATTTTTCTTAGAGGATGGGGAGGCTTTTCGGGGGGGGGGGGCAGGCCCTCATATTTGTATTAATTTGTATTGGTTTTGATAGATTGGGGGGGACAGCTGCCCCCCCCCCAGGCTACACCCATGGATGCCTTCATTTTGGCCTAGTCACATTAAATGTCTCAAAAGGATAGTGTTACATTGTACTCAAAATCATTTGACAAATCATTCCAATTCATGTAGATCCTATGTGCATTATTCTGGTGGTTCCAGACATGTTAGAACTGAAAGGTTCGTACAATACAATATAGCATCCTATTTTCCCTTGGCAAAAAAAGAAAAGAAAAAAAAAAGAGTCCTCACTGTTGGCTCAGGGACCAGATATAGTTACACATTAATTCTTCAGAAGTTTCTGAAAACTGTAGGAAACAGGTGAAAAAACAAAATGTCTTGAACTTTAAACCTGAGCTTAGTCTGTTTGAATAAAGTGAGTTTTAAGGTCACTCTTCACTCAGTACTAACTTTCAAGGAGGACCCACATGCCAGAAGAGACTCCTGGGACTGCATCCTGTTGGTTCTTTGATGCTTTCATTTTGTAACTTGCTATTTTCTTTACAGGGCAGACAACGGGCTTCCTGCTTAGGCCGACCTCTCTCCAACCTCACCAAATACCTCAGAACCGTTTATGGCAAAACACCTTTCTTACATTAGCCAGGGAGGCACCAGTGGAAGCCACGGCCCCTTTGAAATCAAGAGGTTAGAGTCTCCTCTCAGCGGTCGTCCACTCCAAAACGATGAAGTTCTGGTTTGTGAAAACAAACAGCATTGCAACTACTGGGGTGATAACACTGGGCAATACCTATAAGACTGGCCTAAATTGTACTTAACAGACTGGTTAACAACCCCTACCCCTGCAACTGTCCAACATCAGATGGCTTATTTGATACATTGAATCTGAAACAGGATCATTATTTACTTCATTTCTAGCTTGCCTTATAGGTCAAGGAACCCACAAGGAGCTAACAGTGTCAAATCATTTCTGAAGACATGCATATCAATAACAGTAAGGTACATTTAAAATGTGTACAAAATCCTAAAGGCAACTTCATCACATCTCCATTATCCCTGAGACCCCATATTGCACAAAAAAATCCATGCTATGTCCAGTCTTCCAAGAACCAGAAGTGAAATCTATTAGAACAGATACATGTTCCTCCCTAGCATACAACTCAAATATGGGGATTCTGTTGTAAAGAAGACGGTCTTTCTGAAGTTCAATTCACCACAAGATTTCTGTTGGTTTTATATCCACTAGTAAGGTCTTTAAATAATGTAATCTGGGTTAAATAAAAGAATTTGGATTAGAGCACCTGCCTTTTGGGGGACTTCCTCCCAAATCAATGTGAAACACACTACAAATGAGAACATTATCTCAATACTATCTGTGCATCGTGTCTGAACATCAAGTACAGTGGTACCTCGGGTTACATACGCTTCAGGTTACATACGCTTCAGATTACACACTCCGCTAACCTAGAAATAGTGCTTCAGGTTAAGAACTTTGCTTCAGGATAAGAACAGAAATCGGGCTCCGGCGGTGCGGCGGCAGCAGGAGGCCCCATTAGCTAAAGTGGTGCTTCAGGTTAAGAACAGTTTCAGGTTAAGTACGGACCTCCAGAACGAATTAAGTACTTAACCTGAGGTACCACTGTACAGAGGTTTTTTCAGTGGCTACCTATCAGCTGTGAACTTCCTTGTAGTTCTCTAGAGTCAGCAGTATTCTGATGCCGTGACATACATTTCTGTTGAGACTAGCTTTTGATAGCTGGCGGTTAACCTAGAGGAGAGCTTATTTTAAGCAACTATGTTTTCTCTCTCTTTCAAAAAAGATGCATCTGGATCCGGATGCTGGATCCAGATAAAAGAGTTGGAGAGGGACTCAGCAGAGCTTTAAACAGATAAGCCATACACTCATGGCTGTGGAAGCAAATATAGTGTTGTTTGGGTAAAGGGTCTTCATTCAAGAGTGTCTTCCTCTGGGCAAAATGCATTCACTGCTAAAGGGCACAGCAGTCACAGCCCTGCAAGATCACCACAGATAATGTATTTTGCTTCATCACTATGTTATGTCCTGTCCACAGAAAAATTCTCAAAACTAAAGTAATGTTTTAGGCTTCTTATTCTGTTTCATTGACTCTTCTATCACAAGCTCACTGCATCAATAATCCTGTTTACCAAGCCCAAATACTGGACTTTGCCCAGTGGCAGCTGAAATCGGTTGCAACTCTAGGCTATTTCTTTACTTCCCAACATCCTCTGTTAGCTAGTCACCTTAATAATTCTGAAACTCCCATATTTTCCCTTATCTTCATGTCTGGACCTAAAAAGATGTTTTTAGCCCAATTTCATCTTTGAAACATAGTTCACATAAATAATATAATGTTCAGTTAACATTCTACTTCTTCCATGGCTTCCCTATTATGTTTGGCCGACTGCAAGTCTTTGGGATATGTGTCCGGCTTGCTCCCACCCCCACCACATTTTTGTCCATTGCTTGCTGTGAGATGTGGGGACAGGTCAAGCCACAACTCCTAAGAAAATAAATTATCTGTCCCATGGTTTTCCTACCAAATGGATTAAGATGGTACAGTGCCATCTTATAAAACAACTGCTCCCTATTATCACAACTTCTTATTACGACAGAGAGGTTAGTAACAATTAATTCATTACTAACTTTTGTTTAAAATGTGGATGTTCAAGTTTATTTCTTTACAAAACCATGTTTTATAGTACATCTATTCCTGTATAGTTGAACTTTGCACCATAATCCAGTAGCTACCTTGCAGTACAGTATTTCAGCTTTATTCTCAATACTAAGCAATACTAAGCAACTGCATATGCTTGCTTGGAGACAGAAATTTAAGATTATTAAAGGTTTATATGCTTCTTTATATAGCTATATAGTTAGTGCCAAATGTAGAACAAACTGGATAAAAGCCTTTCTTTTTAATCCACTCACCCTTTGGGGTACAAGGGAATAGCATCTTACAGATGGGTTAGGTTCCAAGGTTTATGAAGTAGGCTTGTTTCAAATGTAAAAATTAATCACAATTTAGGATTCAGTTTACATACTAAGCTGTGGTTAATCTGAAAAGAACACTTCTGATGTTCTTCCTGGGTATACCAAAGAGAAAGGAAGTGTGTGTGTGTGTGTGTGTGTGTGTGCGCGCGCGTAGAAGCCTGTGGTTCACTCTCATAACACTAAACAATGGTTAGCATTACATCCAAATACAGCCTTTGTGAAGCATATCAGCGTCCAGCAACCATAAAAAGAAGTATGAAAAATCAAACAGACTAGCTATAGAATAAGGACAAGATATATAGCCAAACAGTTGAATAAGCTCTCAGTTACCAATGTAATCTTAGACCTGTCAGAGCACATACACTTGTTAATATACAGTTGCAACAGCAATGTGATGGGTTGCTGACAGAAAAATATTTCAGTATCCAAGAATGTGGAAGAACCATAGCTCAGTATTACAGTAACTGCTTGCCAAGCAGAAGGCCACAGCTTCAATCCCCAGCATCTCCAAGTAGGACTAGGAAAAACTCCTATCTGAAACCCTGGAGAGCAGCTGTCACTAGTATATAGCAATACTGAGCTAGATGGACCAGTCTGACTGGACATGATACAAGTTCTCATGTTCCTAGTGACATGGCTATACATGTCACACACCTACGCCTTTAAGATAACCTTGCAGTTAGGTCAGTCACTTGCCAAGGACGAAACAGGTATTCCTGCTAGACAAGTTACTTCCAGATGCTCAAGCTGCCCTGTGACATACAGGTATATAGACTCCATATAAACATACACACACAAAAATTGTCCTTCTCTGCAAGGAAATAATTCATTCACAGAAATTCTGTATTTAAAAAACTCAGGGAGTAATGGGTGCAAGAAGTTTGAAGTACTGCATAGGCTTCTGTGCAGTACACCCTTGATGATCCCCAAGGAATGCTAAGGGATTAGCAAGAGGCACATCAGAATTCTCTAAAATTCTAAAATACAGGCAAGGTCTTGAGATATGCAGTATTACAATTTGCAAGCCAATACATGCTTGAAACCAGATGTATTACCAATGTGGTGCCCTCCAGATGCTGCTGGACTGCAACTCCTATAGTCTCTGACCATCAGCCATGTTGTCTGGGGCTAGGAGCTGTAGGCCAACCATAGGCTTAGGAATTTTGTTAGGGGGGGCAGGCCTTTTGTTAGGGGAGGTAGAACCTCAGTTAGCTATGCATTTATATTGATTTTTATAGATTTAGGAGGACAGCTGCCTCTCCCTGCCCCCCGGCTATGCTCTTGAGTCCAACAACACCTGGAGGGTACCACACGGCATTATCCTGCAAGTGGCAACACATCACACTCATCATTTAATTAGCTGTCCAGAGCACCCCGCTGAGAATGTAGGTTCTGCACCACATATTAGAAAAGGCAAAAGGCCATCTTACTCCACAAATTGGTATCCAATCACCAAAAGACCACATACCAGATTCAGTAGTCTACCACACCTTGGTTTTAAGGTCTGTTAAAAGCTAAACAGAGGAAGAAGGCCCAACTAAAGGAGGATGATCAAATCCAAACCAGATACAAATATAAAATTTCTGCAATAAATACACAAACCATATAACACTGCTAGGACCAAAAACGAAAATCTATGGATGTGCTTCCCAGGGGGAAAGAATTGCAATAATGGAAAAAAAAAATTTCAGACAACTTGAAACAATAAATTCAAGTAAATTCTGTTCCAACTGTAGTTGTGGCTGGCAGTTATACAAAAGACAAAAAACAGTTACTGTTGTGATATAAACCGATCAGGTTCACAGCTGAAAGTGCTTGCTTATGTTACAACTACCTGAGTTGATCTTGAAGTTTGTATTACAAGACTAATGCTGACAGATGGAGCCATAAATATTGTGCTTACTGCAAATGTTCAGTCACTACAACTCCCCAAACATTCCCCTCTACCCGTTTGTTGTCAAAATATAAAAATAAGACATTTTAGAAAATAACTCTGCATCCCTACCCACAACTTATTTGATTCTGAGCCATATTTTTCATTGCCTCTATAAGGGCTAATAACTTTTTAAAACAACAACATCTAGAATTAAACTTTGTACAATGTTATGATAGCTTTCTCCTGAAAATATATACAGTGGTACCTCGGGTTACAGATGCTTCAGGTTACAGACTCCTCTAACCCAGAAATAGTACCTCGGGTTAAGTACTTTGCTTCAGGATGAGAAGAGAAATAGTGTGGTGGCTGCGCGGGAGGCCCCATTAGCTAAAGTGGTACCTCAGGTTAAGAACAGTTTCAGGTTAAGAATGGACCTCCGGAACGAATTAAGTTCTTAACCCAAGGTATCACTGTAGCACTACAAGTCCCTTTGTGGTGTAGCGATGGCAATTATGGCAAACTATCACAGGTCCTGCTGCCTTTTACGTTTTCGGCCTGACTAAAGTGTAAGGTTGGGGAGGAACCTTCCCTTTTGGGTGGGGTGTGTGTTTGACATTCTGTTCAACGCTCAGTTAATGCTACTTGCTAAAAATCTAGCTAGTAAGACACTTCATGGTCTCCTTAAACCAGGGGTCAGCAACTTTTCTCAGCCGTGGTCCCTCAGACCATGTGGTGGGCTGGACTATATTTTGGAAAAAAATATGAACGAATTCATATGCCCCACAAATAACCCAGAGATACATTTTAAATAAATACATAAATATTTTTTATTTAAAATACATTTTAAATAAAAGGACACATTCACAGCCTAAGACCCTCGTACCTACGGGACCGCCTACGTGTATGCCCCACAGAGAGCCTCAAGGTCCATAAATAGCAACACCCTAAGGAAGTTAGATTGGCTTCAACCAGAGCCAGGGCCTTTTCAACTCTGGCTTCGGCCTGGTGCAATGCTCTGCCTCATGAGACCAGGGCCCTGCAGGATCTGATTTCTTTCCGCAGGGCTTGTAAGACAGAGTTGTTCCACCTGGCCTTTGGCTCGGAGCCAATTTGATTCCCTCCCTCCCTTTCTTTTTTCCTTTCCTTCTCCTCCTGCGATGAGGCTACATTTTAATATTTTAATGTTTCAATATTTTAATGTTGTATTTTAATTTTGTTTTTAAGTTGTAATCATTCAACTTGTTTATATTATTGCTTGTAAGTTGCTCTGAGCCCGGCCTTGGCTGGGGTGGGTGGGGTATAAATAAAAATTATTATTATTACTCATGTAAAAACATGCTGATTCCCAGACTGTCTGCAGGCCGGATTGAGAAGGCGATTGGGCCACATCTGGCCCCCAGGCCTTAGGTTGCCTACCCCTGCCTTGAACTTTCACCGGAGAAAATGAAGCACGTTTTAATTCCCCACCCCACCCCCGCCCAAACAAACACACCTATTAAAAAAAGCCCCTTGCAAATAATTCAGTGGTTTTATATATTCATAGTCAAAAGCCAATGGACGTAAAGCAGCAGAAAGATAATATAATAGGAAATAGGAAAAAAATACGTGTGTTAGTCGTAGCGCCCTTGCAGCAGTGAATAAGCGTGCAAAAAGAAGGCCTTGCCACGCATCCAATTATATCGCGAATAACAGTTTTAACAGGAAACTGTGCATGCAAAGCACGTCGATATCGTAACTCGGGCGCTTCTAATGCAGTGGGACGTGTGCGGGTGTATCCGCGTCTAAAACGATGGTCTCCTCTCTGCGCAGCTGCGAGCCGGTTGAGGCAAGCAAGCGACTCTCTATCTTCTACAACCCTCGAGCGAATCCGACGCTCGCCCACGACAGGTTCCATGAGGCGCCAACCAATCCGGCTTTCCTCCTCCTCTCACGTGATTTCCCCCCACCCGCGCACCCCAGCTGGCGCGCGCCGATTTAAAAGCCAACGCCTGAAAGAAAACGGTTGACTAAAAGAGTTGGGGGGGGGGGAGTGAGAGGAGAGAAACTGCGCGCGCCTTCCTTTCCTCTCCCGAGCCCACCCACCCTCTCCAACATCACATGACCTCCCTTTTAACCAATAACCTTTTAAAATAACCTATAAGCGACCAGCTCGGGTCTCCCCTCGCGCTCGCATTTTAAAAAAGGCGGCAAGCCCGTTTGAAGAAAGAAGCTCACCTGCCAGTTTGAACAGCCGTGTTTAGAGCCCGGGTCCTAGTGCGCTTGCCAATCACACAAACTTGCTCCGGCCGCTTCCGGAGTGCGCCGTTGCCCTTTAGAACCTGAGGGAGTGGGCGGGGCTGCTCGGCGTTCTCCACAGAGAGTTAGTTTAGAGCTGCCATTTCACGTGCTGAAGACGGGGTCGATGCTCATTCTGTGAGGGGGGGGGACGGTCTTTGACTTTTTAAACCTTTATAAAACTGCAGCCACTATCACCCCAACATTTCACGAGGAGGAAAGGGAGCCGAAGCCGAGGGAGGATTGATTTACGACACTCCTATTTATGACAGTAGGAGCTGTCACCCCAAGTCCCAATGAAGTGAACGGAGCTGAGACTGCGCCATCTAGCGCAGGTTATTTCAGGCTGCTGGAAATTAGGGCTAAATCGAGCCGGAAGCTGGGAAGTTCGTTGTCACTCTTCAACTTGTCCAGCTCTGTGGGCGCCTTCGGCGAGCTCTTACTCCCGCCTTTTCCAAGAGGTGATTGACGTCACGTTTCGTCAACGTGACAGAATCAGCGGAAGGAGGAACGACCGGAGGAAAGAAGGCGGCGAGGAAAGCCGCCGTTGCTTAGGCAACCGCGCGCCTGCGCAGTGCGGCGGGAAAAGCAGGCGAAGGAAAGGCCGAACGGCGCGATAACTTTCTTCAGTGAAGGGCAGCGGGCAGGAGCTGGTCGTTTCACCTAACATATGTGGCAACCCCGTTCCTATGTCTGCTCACTTGGGAGGTAAGTTCACTGACTTCTGTGAAGCTTGCATGTTACGTGTTAAGATTTTTTATGAATTAAATATATATATATAAACTGCTTTAAAAAAATATCTCTTAAGCTACTCACTAAGTAGTTTTCCACAGGACTTACTGCATTGCTGCCAGAAATGCTTACTCAGAAACTCCACAATCGCTATGTTGGAAAGGCTGCTGCGCCTGTTGGATTTCTGCCTGCTGTGCACCTTCTTACAGATTTGCCACTTTTCCTTCTGACCAGGGACCCTCTGGCTTTAATTCTCGTAGGATTGGAGACTTCCAAACTACGGTCCATCGTGGAGATGCAGGGCTGAGCAGCTAACTACACCTGTTGAATTTCTTCACATTACAAGAAGAAGGTGGAAACCGCAGCTTTCTAGTTAGCACTAGCCTTAGGAAGAGAGAGGGTTGGAAGGCTAGGACTGAGCAGGGTGGAATTGCCACTTTATAACTAATTTTTCACTTGGGGTTGCAGTATCAAAATACCACCTATCTTAAAACAAAACAGAACAGCAGGTTCTTAAAGATTCTCACCAACCAAATGCACTCTTGATATATTGGGGTGAGCATAGTATCTTCCCGCAGATTTCGAGATACACTCTCTCCATGTAGGATGTTCAACAGACACTTAGAAACTATAGTAACATATAGAGGGCCTTGATGCTTCCTTGCTGCCTTTGGGCCATATCTATACGTACTTAATATAAGATGAATTGGGAGAGAATCGGAGCTAAGTTTTATGAAATGTAGATCTCAAATCTCTTATCAAAAACTATTGTATATATAAGCTAATTTAAGCTTCACACCCAAGTGATTTTCATCCTTGTCAAGTTTGTGAAAAAAATTCTCTCTGTTTGGGTAGTGGCAATCTGACAAATTTTCACCCAGACTTATTTTATCCAAATATCCATCAACTGAACTACCTAACGTCAGCTGGAGGGCACAGGCTCTGGCCTACCCCAATCTTTTTTATGTGTAGACATCACGAGAGCCATTGGGCAGGCCAGATACAGAGTTACTTTTACACTAAAAAGCAGACCATAAACAAGTATTGTGCTAGAGAGGATCAAACAAAGTGAGGGGACAATATATATACCCCCCCCACTTGGTGTAGGAAAGCTGCTGCAGGGGAGAAGCCAAATTTGAGCACCAAAACTTCATGTGGATAAAGATTTTAGCATACACCCCCACCCCCCCAGCTCTGCTCAAAGCAGGTGCTCCCCCCGTCAGTTGTATTAATGTTTCAAAGTTAAACAACAAAACAACCACAGCTATTTAGAAAAAAATTGCTTTCCCCCTTTTCCATTTGATGCATTGCCACTGCCCTTTCTGAAACATTACTTTTATCGTTGTTATTGAGCAGGTTTTATTTTTACTGTTATAAAATCCACAACAGCCAAAGAACAGATGAGGTTTTATTACAAATGTTGTCTTATAAAAGAAACTGGAATGTATTCATTAAAATTCAATGTCATTATCAAGAACTAATCCAACTATAACATCAGTTGCTACCCATTGTCTTCAAAGTCCTCACTTTTTATTATTATCTAGCCATACAGTTTAATAGGCCCCAAAGAAATTTATAATACATCAGAGGCTGACATTCATTGGACATATCACCAAATTGGCTACAAATCTTTTGTTGCATTCTAAAACAATTATTTCAGTATAAAGCCCATACTTGTTTGTGCTTACAAAAGTGTAGATTCTTATGACAAACCTTGTATCACAGAAATGAAACAATCTTCTGTACACTCCGCTTTTTAGTAAGTAGATTTAATAGGCAGCAGTCACTGCTTATTCACTATTTTCAAAAGAGCTTTAACCTCAGAATTTGCACTACAATTTCAAAAGATTCGGTTCCAGCTTTCCAAACAACTAATATTCCCACAGCCCCATTCTACATCTGTTTACTCAGAAGGAAGTTCCACTGGACTTACTCCTAGACAAGTATGTCTAGGATTGCCACCTTACATGTAATCCTAAGTACTGTGGTGACCTGCAGTTGAGTTGAATTGAACTGGGATGCAGAGGATCAAACTATGTTGGATATATCAGCCCAGCAGCCTAAAACGGCACATAGTTCACTTTTGCCTTCATGGCTTTTGAATGTTAAGAGACATGTATGCATTTGCTAAGCGTATAGCAGGGGTGGTAGGAAGAGACTGGGATTTTCTTCTTATGGGTGGTATCTGACTAGTTAGAATAGTACCATTAAAATCAATGGATTTGTAGTCATAACTACCGTAACTAACCACCTTAATTACAGTGGGTTTACTCTTTGTGTGACTTAGCCATTTACTACTGTATATTTTTTAAAGCGGTATTACTGTATATTTTTAAAGCCTTTTTATAATGTTTCTAAATTTAAAATAAATTTCTAAAACTGAATTATAGCAATCTGTATGACATTTAATTATCATTTTTAAAAGTAGGATCACTTCACATATCACCATTCTGCCCTCCCAAAAATATACACACAATATGCCATAAGCATACACGGAAAAATGCCACATATGAATGTAACAACATACTACATTTGTCAGAGTTGGTTGCAGCTCCATGTCAAGTTTAGGCTTGGTTGTATAGCTAAGGTTGCCTACTGCATAATATGTGAAGTAGCCTTTAGGACACTATTAAAAAAGTTTGCCTAGGCAATGTTTTGTAGTTACATTCACATGACAGAGCTGACAGCTAGGAGACACAGTAATTTCAAGTGTTATTATACCAACAAAAGTCTAGAAAATGCTGATCTACTTTACATATGCTTTCAAATCAGGAGATCCAAACATTTCCAGGCTGTTAACAAAAAAAGTAAATTTAAAGAAATGTTTCATGCTCTACATAAAATATTAATTCACTATCTTCATACCGAACAAACAGTGCAGGCCAACAGGGATAAGTATCATATGTAAACTGCAGGCAATAGTAATGAATCAGACAATTAATTACATCAGACATCAACAATATTCAAACATAGAACTATTATTAAAATCTTATCCCATCTGAGAAAATGGCCTGTAAGCACTGCATGTTAGAGGAAATGGCTGAATCATTAAAAAACAAAACATAAAACAACCAGTGGAAATGATTTCTATTTATAGTTTGTACACTTTTTTCTTGTGTATGTATAAATAAATACATCAACACCATGTTCTTATTGGGGTCATTCACATTATTTTATAATATTCCATATAGCAAGACTGTCAGCATCCTGTGTATTACAACAATTAAAACTATTTTATTCAAGGGACTGATACATTTAGAACATATTGGGAGCAGTTGCAAATCCTAATCAGTTCAGGATGTGCATGCTGTCCAATGGTTGGATCTTTGTCTCCAGCTCTAAGGGCTAGATTGGGTCCATGTGCATCCGTGTTTTAGTTGTGGTACTAAATCCATAACAAGATAGCTGCCAAAGCCAAGTGCACCAACTGGTACATATATTGTATGAAAAGTTTTCTATTTTGAAACTCAATTCTGATCTTTCCATTCTGAGAAATATGCTCTATATGGGAAGGATTCTAATGCAGCAGTATCTGTCTTGCACAATATACATAGTAGGACAAAAAAGGACAACATTTGATTTTGACTTTGCTCCTGGAAAATCCAATCTGCAGCAAGAATAAATTGAAGTATGGAAGAACAGATGTTTTTCTGATATGCTATCATTGATTTTTAGGTGAACTGTACCTGTCTGTAAGTGGTCTTTAGGCAACCCCTAAAGCTGGAAAACAATAGTTTATCTGGGACTGTCAAGATTACACAGGTGGATATCTCAACATTGCATCTAGAGTGCAATGTTGACATAAATCCTTTCTTTGCCAATAAAGACGTTGCAACCACATCTCTTTACTACTTTAGGCTACAATGGCCCAGATCAGACATTTCTTCCTGCCCTTGGCTGCACCCTTAGGGGTGTTCCATGTGAAGGATTTTAGAACATGTTAACTGGGCTGTCACTTCTTTAAGGAACTATTAACCCACAGAGAAAAATTAAGTCTGCTATCATCCCCAGAGAAGACTGAAGAACCCTTCATATGCCACTTGGATTTCAGCTACTGATACCCTAATGAAAGCTGCTACCAACAAGACAGCAGATTAAAACCTAATCAAACATCTAAAAATGTAATAACCACTGCCCAGCTGAAGCATTACAAGATTCTGGGCAAACTACCAAACATGAAAGGCTTTACAGTTTAAAGTACTCTTGACAGTTATTTTGGGATGCTTGACCATTCAAGTCACTACCTTTAAGCTGTACAACAGCAACTAAGGATAGATTCTGAATCTAATAACAATTTGAATTCAACTTCAATCCTCAATTCACCATAAATTGTTGAAAATAGTTCATTCTATCCTGTTCTTACCAAGTATATTAGCAGGGTATTGTGCAAACCCTGCCAGAAGAACACCCTCTCCCATGTTTCTGAAGCATGGCCTCCCCAAAGATTAATGAACCAACATTTGTGCTCTCGGTAATTCACTGGGCCACGTTTCATACCAACGCTGCATCAGAATTCCTGCATCAGTAAGATGTATGCACAGGCAAAATAAATTATATTTCTTTTCCACATAATTGTACTGTGGTACATTCACACTCCACTGCTACATGCATTTTGAATATGTCCTTTTTATTTGAATAAGTTGCCCCTACCAGCACAAGTGCTCAGAGTATAAGAATGTAAATATTCAACAGGTTTTGAAATTGGGTCAAAAAGCTGAAAGCATAAATACAAACCTTTCAGTTCTCCAAATGAAAATTTCAAAACCAGCGTTGCTTTTTATTTTTTTGTAAAGAAATTTACTTCTGCCACTAGACTTCATGAAACATTTTGAGTATTTGTTGCTGGTGCTATAATTATTGGGTTATTGTTGTGGTTTTTTAAATGACAGTATGACTGAATGCTTCTCCCTGGTGATTAGTAGCCATGTTGCCAATAAATGGTATGCAGTACGCATTCAAAGCCTGAGAAGAAACCTCAGACATCGCCTTTTTTTTTCAGTTGGTCCAGTTTCCTTTTTAAAAGACTATAGTTTTCCCTGGTCCCAGCTGCTGTGGGGTCAAGCTTCAGAGAGATTTCGTAGTGTTTCTTGGCTAAGTCAAGATTTCCCCAGCGATGGTACAGCACAGCTGAAACAGCAAAGAGGAGTTTTTGTTAGCAACATCGTTGAAGGACAGACAATCTTGCCAATTACTTAGAAAACATTAAAACATTTGGTTGGCTGCCGGCATGGTGGCAGCCTGCTCTGTTGCCAGCTGGAGGGGACACGTTTGGGAGCTGAGCAGGCCAGGGAATGACAAGAGTGGATTGTGCTAGAGCCATAAATTGCTGTTTTTATCAGGAGAGCTCATGGCGGTTTGCAAGCATGGCACAAAAGAGCCAATTTGCCACCACTGACATGCAGCCACCTCTGGGCTGTAGTGTGCTGCCTGGTTGGTCTATTATACAATGCACCGAGCTTTGCATTTTTGGAACTCCTTTCTCTAGCTGGCAATTTGTTTAGCAAGTAGGCAGAATAGAAATCTAGGCAGCAGAATAATGCCTTAAAAACAGTAGTTTTTAAGACAATTAACATGAAAAGAAGTACAAGCAGTGTGTCTGATTTTTTAAAAGTTTGCACTAGGGGAGCTGTAAAATGTCTTACCCAAATTACCATGGTAACTGGCTGCAGTTGGATTGGCTTTAATTGCCTTGTGGAACAAAGCTTCAGATTCCTGAATAATTCAGAAAAAGAGATCAACAGGACAAGCTATTTCTGTAGTGCATACAATGTCAAGTACAACCAAACACTACCAATTACCTCATGCTCTGTGGTCTATTAATGTGATTATGTCACCATATTTTTTTCATGTGCATTCACACTTCTACTTCTCTCTAATGGATATACATACAATATAATTCACAGCCTGATCCAGCTGTTGTCTGGTAGTTGCTGTCAATTAAACATTAATTACTTCTGTGCGAGTAAGAACACAAAAACACTTGCGGACTGCATTATAACCGGATGCTCACACAAATCACCACTTAAAACCTGCATATTTGTGTTAAAATGAAGTTAATCCCAATAAAATCAATGAGATGAATCTACTTTTATTACAGCCAACAATTTTTTAAGGCTCATCTGCTTTGTTTTGGAGACAATACTTCTAGAAAGAAAAAATGCTCCACAAAACTTTTCACTTGTTTTTCGAACTGACTTGCTTCAAAGATTCTGACCACTGAATATTTTCATTATTCATTTTCAGTTTTGCTAGGCTCACACATCCCTCTTGCATGACATCATTAAACTCTGAACAACACATACAAAATATATATTACTCAAGAAAAACAATTATTTAAACAGATAAGAGATTAAAAATACTTTTAAAGATGTTCTTATGCAGCGGATGCAGACTTAATTACAGGGCTACTTAACACAGCTTTATGTCTGTTTATAATCCAAGGGTAAGTGCTGATTCTAATTTAAATGTTTTTTTCAGGAAAAGCCTTGGCTTATTTCTATATCAATTTGAATGATGATTTTTAGATGTGCTGCATATAAGATAAAAAAAAAATTTATGTGGTTTCTGAACTGTTCTGCAAAACACGCTTGCTTGCCTCCCTAAATTAAACTCATGAACTTGTTCACAGTAAGGAATCTAGTGTTTTCTGTTTAGGCAGGAATGAGTAAAAGTCAGCTGAATAATACCCAGAGTGTGTGTTCCAATCTCATGTGATTGTGGGGACCCCTGAGAACCTCAGCTAGGGATGAATCAAGTAAATTAGTTTAGCACCCAGGAGTTGATCAGACCAGGGCCCTAAAGGCTATCTTATTTCCTAGAACATCTCTGAAAAAGGAGGATTTGGCCTATAAAAACCTCAGATTACTGGGGAATCCATGTTCAACTGAACCTTTCTTTTCTATAACTACTTTGCTTTGATGTTTTACCTATTTCCCTCTGAATTATCAATGAAATTATTTTCCTATGTTCATGAAATCTAGGGTTGGTAACTCCGCAGGTTCAGAAAACCCAGCCACATGCCCAGCTCTTTGACAACATTACTGTGTCTCTACAGATCAAGGCAGTATATTTTATTCAACACAGGTGACCTTGCATAAAAGGTGGTAAACCCCATACACGAGTAGTTTGCCATGACAACGTACATGCCACCACATTACGAATGTGCACATGTCTATTTTGCCACATGTACCTACAGAACAACACTTCAACTCATCTCTAATGTGAGTTGTAAATTTTTTTGAGAACCTATTCAGTCTATGAACAATGGAGAAACAATTAAGATAATTATTTCATTCAAAAGTTATGATTGGAAATATTTTACTACCTTATATTTCTGTGATTTCCCCAATACATTTGCCAGTGAAAACATAAGAGAATGATCATTGGGTATTAACTCCAAAGCCTCTCTTCCAACAGCTTCAGCTTGTGCTAAGTTACCTAGGAACGTAAGAAAAGAGAGGAAAGGGTGCTGAATAGCACACTAGTTTTTATTCCACAAAACCGTAAGCAGGGCAAAAACTGCATAAATGCATCACTTATTTAAACAATGCTGGGTAATTCTTATACTGTACCTGTATTATCAAGCAATATAATCATGTTGTTCCAAGCCAAACTGTGTTGTGGTTTCAGAACAGTGGCATTTCTCCATGCATTCAATGCATCTATGTGGCGATTGAGGTCAGCATACTGAAACACGGACGACAATATGACAGCAAATACAGTAACGGTAGTCCTGAATAAATTAGATCAATGCTCAAGTTCCTCCCCTGTTCTTGTCCCATTCCTGCTTATATTACTTTATGCAAAAAACAACCACCATGTATATATTAAAAAAAAAATAGTGAGTAGTGCTATATTTTGGGGACAAGCTCTTGAAAACAATTTATAATGGTCAAAGCCACGAAAGGCAATCTGCAGTGAAAGGTCTCGCCCACTGATACCGTAGGAACAACACACAGGAACATAGGAAACTGCCTTATACGGAGTTGGTCCATCTTGCTCAGTATTGCACACACTGACCGGCAGAGGCTTTCAGGGTTGCAAGCAGGAGTCTCTCCCACCCCAACTTGGGGATTGAACCTGGGACCTTTTGCATGCAAAGCAGATGGTCTGCTATGGGCTGGAGTGCAGGGCCAAAGTACTGCTGTTTAACCACACTGTTAACATCTAGGAAGTATGCTTAAGTTCGCCACCGAGGCGACATTTCATCTTAGCCTCTTGCTGTCATTAGCACACATGTAATGCAGTACACTTACCAAACGTCCTAAATTATAGTAACAATCTGGGTATTTTTTTCGGTGTCTAATTGCAGTCCAGTAGCTTTGCTCTGCTTCTCCATACCTTCTTAAGCTATTCTGCACTATTCCCAGATTCATCCATGCCGCTGCAAAATCAGGCCTAGGCAGAATTGTTGGATACATTTAGTATATAGGACAGGACACAGCACTCCTTTTATATGCTCTGCAACAACAACTGGAATTGTGTATTTAAAAACGTACTGTATTTGTACAGCTAATGACAGCAGCTCTTCAGCTTCATGGAGTTCATTCCTTTCTTTCAAGATATTTCCCAGGTTGTTCATAGCGTGCACATATTTAGGATTCAATCTGGGTATGTAAAAGGGGGGAAATAATTACTCATTGGAAAAAGGCAGCTTGACTCATTTTTTTTCATTTACACTACAGTAAATGAAATCTGCTGGATTGATTGCTTCTGTCGACAGGTGTCTTTTGTACAGGTACTGTAACGAGCTGGGATTACAGGTAAGACCTCTCCCTTACAGCAGGTGCTTCTAATCTCAGCTTGTTACATACAGTGAAGATACCAGGTAGCTTGACATCTGGCTGGTTGATAGGGGATCAAATACTTATTTCACTCATTATAATGCACATCAATCTCTGACTTTTTTCTTCTGGGTTTCTGGGGCTTTTCCTGTTGTTATTCTGTCTCTCACAGCTACAATAAACCTACCATTAAAATTATGGACTGGTCATTTCTTCGTCAGAGGGCAAACGGGCAAATTTAGCAGGCGATCAAATACTTTCCCCCCTCACTGTATATAGCCACCAACTCATGAGACTCCACCTATTATTTGAATCTCAACCTGACCAAACATAGGAAATTTACCCCTTAATCATATATTAAATCACCATCACCAATCTTATCTAGACTACAGTGATTTATTTAAAAGGAGAGACAGGAAATGGTGCCCTTTCTAGAACGTGATGCAGAAAGAAACAACTATATTGTAGCTTCATTGCTAGGATGGCTTTGCTATCAGTGGTGCTTGCCTGCAGAACATGTTGAGCACATGCAGAGGATAGTGCTATTGCCCCTTATTTAAGGTGCCACGGGCAAACTTGTTGGGATCAATCATACAGAAATTAGAGGGTACTCCACCAAAATTCCACCTTGCCCAAATCTTGCAGGATAAGGATGCCCATACGACCCTGAAAGTGGCTAGGTTCCTGGTCGCTGTCCTTACCCAAAGCGTCGCCAAGGAGCACCACAAGCTAATTAAGGCGTAGTATGCCATTCCATCTTATAGTAGCTTATTGTTATAGTATTGTTTTAGCGGCTGTTTTTTTCCCATGTGCACAGGCTGTTATTTATGTCTTGTTTTTATCTGTATGGGCCTACGGCCGTAATAAATTATTATTATTATTATTATTATAGTGCTATTACCCAGGCATCATTATCTTGCTTTAAATTTAAAAACAACAACAACAGGAATACATGTCTCCTTTATTCATTTTTCTACAAACACATGTCATCCCTTTTATTGCCTTCATTCATGTGCCCATACTTAATTTTGTTAGGTTTGTACTACCTAATTTTCTTTTGGCTTGCTAATTCTGGAATTTCACATGACTTCCAATACACAGTAGTCATACTTGCCACTATGATCGGATTGCACCCCTTAATCTGTGTATTTAGGATACGAGATATATGATATATGAGTGTGTCTGTGTGCACACACTGTAGTATGTATCTCCTAACAACAAAAATATTGGATTGAAATATCGTATTTTCTACTTTTTCAGCAACTACCCAAATCTGGATTGGGATGGGACCACTTCACAATTCTTTCCTGTGTTACATCGCCAACATTTTTACTCACACTGTGTACATTTTCCTAACCATAGTGTTCTAAGCTACATTCATTCCCCGCCCCCCATGGATTAAATTCTCTTTTGAATAATTCAAATAAAATTAATTTATTTTAAACAGTGCCAATAAATGCTATATTGTGAATATTTTCCCCCTGTTCCTCTTTTAATTCAGTTTTTATTAAAGATTTTCTTGTGTAACAAACAAATGAAAAAAAGGAAAAGTGCATATAGTGTCTCCACTTTCAGTTCATAGAGTCTTTTTCACAGTTTGTTTGCATTCATTGTGGGACACTTCCCTGTTCCTCTTTTAAACAGTAAACTGGCACATACCTGACAGCTTCCCTGTAATAGTTGATTGCAGCTGTTTGGTTGCCTTTATCAGCCAGGTTTTTGCCAACGTTATAATGAACCTGAAAGTAAAGGCCAGAAATGTATTAATTGTTCCATACATTTATTACTCTTAGATACTAATAATGCAGCATTTATCTCTGCAACTGCAATTTTGAAAATAGATTTATGGTTTAACAAAGCGTCTTTCTTTTGTTTATATATACCACAGGTCAAGGTAAGTGCAACCTTCTTTGAATAATATGCATAATTTACAGTGATGTGTCAAGCTTCAAGAAGGGGATGGCTTGAAATAAAAACTACATTTGTGCTTTGACCCCCTTTCCCAAAGCTGATGCTGAGTCAAGCCTCTGAAGTTCAGGGCCAGGCTCAACATTGTTTGGGTGGGCCTACAATGTTATCTCTTTCCTTACACAGTGATAGTATGAGGTAGGATATATAGCAGGGACTCCATTAGGCTTTTAACACAGTCATGGTATGTTCAAATAGCATCAACAGCTGCCAGGAAAAATAAAAAATGTAGCTGAAGAGAATATGACACAAGAATTAGAGAGAAGAAAATAATAATCAGAGAACAAACATCCCAGTGAAAATGCAAGTCTTCAGCAACTTTGAAGTTCACCAAACATTTATCCAACTGAAAATTCATGCCTATTGGTTCTATGTTTTGGTTGAATGTGTTTTTTAAATTTCCAACACAAATATTTACAGAAAGTTGTAGGTCAGCAAAGAACATATTTGAACTACTTGATCTTCTGCTGACTCTGCAAATTTCAGCCCTGCAGGTTTCTGGAAGAACTCTTTTAGATTTGGGGGGGGGGGGCATGCAATTGAGTCCACAGCAGGCCCAAAATGACGTAGAAACCTGCCTCTCCTTGTACTGGGCCTATGCCTACTTCAGCATCATAGATTAATGGTATTAACCAGTGTTGGTGCCTATGCCTTCGCTTAGCATGCTGACATTAGCCACAGAAGAGGGAAGGAGTATACTTTTGTTGGTTGTGGCAGCAGCATTCCGAGCCAAGTAGTCTAGGCATCCCAACATGTTTGTATACCAGCTAAGGCCAGATCAATCTATTTTTGTTGTTGTTGTTTAGTCGTTTAGTTGTGTCCGACTCTTTGTGACCCCATGGACCAGAGCACGCCAGGCACTCCTGTCTTCCACTGCCTCCCGCAGTTTGGTCAGGCTCATGTTTGTAGCTTCGAGAACACTGTCCAACCATTTCGTCCTCTGTCGTCCCCTTCTCCTTGTGCCCTCCATCTTTCCCAGCATCAGGGTCTTTTCCAGGGAGTCTTTTCTTCTCATGAGGGGGCCAAAGTACTGGAACCTCAGCTTCAGGATCTGTCCTTCCAGTGAGCACTCAGGGCTGATTTCCTTAAGAATGGACATGTTTGATTTTCTTGCAGTCCATGGGACACTCAAGAGTCTCCTCCAACACCGTAATCTATTTTTACTCACCAGCAAATACCATTCCCACTGCCAAACAAGTGTAACAAAGCCATTGGTTACACGATGGCAACTAATGAATCACTTTTCCCTGCCAAGAGCACCTTGAAACACAATGTGAAAGAAGGGTATACTTTTATTTTATTTGTATACAGCCCTCCATCTGTTTATCTCAGAGCAGTTCACAACATAAAAATATAAAATTAAAAAACCCCAAAATGCATAATAAAAGAACAAAAACAAACCAATAATAAATTCAATAAATAAATAAACTGCTGATCTCCTCTCACAACATGTTTGAAAGGGTATCAGATACAACAAGCCAAAGGCCTGGTTGAAGAAAAATGTTTTTGCTTGGCGCCTAAAGGTGTATAATGAAGGCACCTGCTGAACCTCCCAGGGACATCATTCCACAAACATGCACGCCACCATACAGTATATCCAACTCCAAATAGACCTTATGTTTTCAGAATAAAAACAAAAAGGAAACTGCCATATTCACAATTGAGGAAACAGAAGCCAGAGGTCTAGTTACATCTTTTACAAGCATTCTACAATAAGGATGTGTAAAACACTGTGTACCACAGAGTGCGGGAGAGGTATAGCTGCATTTTGTTGTGTGACAAAAAGGAATGGTTCAACCATGGGGTGGAGCTGCAGCAGTGCTGTTCTGTCTGCATGGGCAGTGACAGAGCCAATACAGTCCTCCTGTCTGCATGCCCTTATTCCTCCTGAATAAGTGGGCTAGACAGCTCCTGCCCACTCCCAAACCAATCAGGGACAATGTGTTCCCTAGATCCACAAAGATTACCGCTCTTGGAAAACAAATGCTGTACACAACAGCCATATATTGAACTATTATAGTTCCTCCGTTCTGTCTCCCTAAGGAACCCTAGGGAAATCAGTTTATAAGAGAGATGGAAATCTGTAGCATGCAATCCCAATTCTTTGTAAGTGCCCTACAGGTTTTTCAAAATTGGCTGCAAATACTGGTGATACTGAACATTTTGTTTGCTTTGGGTCTTAAACTTCAGATTTTGTGTACTTTTTTTGGCTCACCAAACACAGTAAACTGCCTTTTGCTAACTTTCAGTAGGAAATGTGGGACATAAATTCAATGAATCATCACCACCACCTTTTAGAATAAAGCATAGGCTAGAAAATTTCTAGTTCAGGTGTTTTAACTTTTCTGCATAAGCTAAGCCCTGAGAAACAGATTCGGACTGAGAAAAGGATATGGATTGCCAAGCTCATTCATGAACCAATTCAACTTTGATGCTAGGCATCAAAGTTGCTTACTATTGCTTACTATTTTATATTGCTTACTATTTTATATCCCACAACTGCTTTTAATAATGCATAAAAGCAGGGATTGACCTGATTTCCAGAGCAGCATTATGCATGCAAAGAACAATACAGATCTTGAATTGTCTGTGATCCTCTTATGCTCATTCCCGCCATTAAACGCCACGGTAAAAGAAATCCTCTGTGTGGGATAACTTTTAAGGTTGCATCTTTACTGGGACTGATAGTTTTGCCTGGGAGTTAAGCAAAGCAGTGTGATTTCTTCAATTGCCATTCCTTTAAGCCCAGCTTGGAAACCTGGGCTGCAAACCAGCATATGACCACTTAAATTAAGACCAGGTAACCTGGCACTCAACACTGAATCAGGGATCTGAATCAGCGGCGGAGGAAGCCGCTCAGGCACCTGGGGTTGCGCGCCCATAGGGGTGGGGCGAGGGCAGGGCACACCGCGAGGCTCCTGAATCTGCCTGCCTCCTCCCACTCAGCCACCCTACAGCTAGTGGGGGGGAGGCAGCCTGCCTGTGTGGCTTGGACATACTGCAGGCCCCGCAGTGAATTCCGCCCAGCATTTTGTCACCTCCCTCAGAGGTGACACCTGGGATGGCCCACACCGACTGCACCCCCTTCCTCCGCCCCTGATCTGAATTAGTATTCACCAGCCTTTTCGGACCCAGGACCCACCTTTAACTAAAGATTGTTTGGGGACCTGTTTCTCTTTCTTTCTTTCTTATGTTTGTATGGCGGTAGTGTTGCGGTTGCAACCTACCTTGCATCAGGCTGCAACCTGGTAGTAGCTCCCGAGTTGAAGACCAATGCTCTAAAGGATGGGAAAGGCACACAGAAACGTACCACAGGGATGTAGCTACATTTTAGATCCAAATGACAGAGGAACAAAAAATAGTTTTTGAACTTACTTGGTGGTGTGGGGAATGACTTAAATGAAAACACTTTCAGATTTTTAATTTCCTTTACATTTGTTCAATTTTTACTTCAAAATAGGGATTTGCCTTTACAGAGTGCAATGCATATGGCTAATGCATATTACTCCAAAACTTACTTTTGCATTCAGTGGACACACAGACAAAGCACTCCTAAAAAGTTGTTCTTCAGATCTCCACTGGTTACTGCGGATAACGCAACGCCACACATTTACCAACAAGAGGCCCAGCAGAGCAGCAACAAGAAATTTCTTGGAGAGAAGAAACACATGTTAGGAACCACATTTAAAGCTGTGTGTGTGTGTGTACCTTTTGTCAGTTATATGGATCCTTTTGTTAGTACCTTTTTTTTAGCTTGTCTGCTCAATAGACTGAATCCGTATGTAATCAGCATGCAATAGCCAATACTCGGGAGGTAGGTTACTCTTTCTGCAACAACAAATCCAACTCGAAAGAACAGATTACTTGCAGGAAGGAAAGGGATGATGAGAAACCCCAAACCCAATGTCAGGATTCTGGAAGGCAGAAAGTAAGTTACAGGATGAACAACGCAATCATGACTTCTTATGATATTTTTATGCTACAACTTAGTATCTGCATGTAAAAAGCTGGGGTTTCAAAGAATCTAATTGAATTCTGTCTTTTTAGCATGGAATCTTTAGAATCCATGCCAAATTCCATTCAGTGACATCAGAAATACGGTATCATATGGGAAAAATTCATGCCATGGCTCTTTTCTATACCAATATCTTCCCAGGAATGGTAATGCTGTTGCATGAAGGAACTGCTGCATGGGCTCCTCTGTGGGGAAACCTGGAGATTTCTGATGTTACTAAGCAGGGTGGGAAGGAACTACTCAGTGGAAGATCTCGTATCATTAAAGGTCATGTTGGAAAAGACTCCAAGCAATCAGTTGTGTTAATGATGTCCGTGTGCTTGCCATGTAATAGTTTGGTGATCCAAAGTTTAACATAATGTACTCAATCTAGACATTCTAAATATGCATGGGAAGCCCTTGTTTTGAAGGGGTTACCTAAATGGGAAGGGGAGTATTTAGTAGGGGTGTATAGCAGCTCTTTGCTGGGGCTCAATAATGAGGTGAACTGGGGTGATTTCACCACTCCCTGAGCTGGACCACAGGGTCACCAAAGCACCCAGTCACTCCCCCCACAAGACCTCATGTTGCTCTGCTGCTCTATAATTTTTGTACTATACTTTGCGTAAACTATATTTCTATGTTTCCCTCCATACCCATATGTTTCCCTAGGTCCATGGGCTTTGCAAAAGGCAAGATGTTCAGAATGCTATCTGTGAATCACTAAAGTGCTCTGGGTGATTTTGTTGTTGTTGGAAGCAGAGCAGCTGAAGATTTTAATTATTTTAAGTAAGATGCTTCATTTATCTTTTTTTTTTTTTTTAAGACCACTGTTTCGCTTGGGCGAGGGGTGGGAATCCTCTCGAGTGCTTCAGCGCTCCACAGGCACTATTCTGAACACTTGCACCTTGTAATGTCTATCTATAGGAGGACACAAGCACAAGAAAGTTAAGCCAGCTGCTATGAAGCTGCTAATAAAAGTTATTTTAAGGTAATCAAGAGAGGCAACCCCCCACTCCCTCCTCAAAATTATGAAGCCAATATGGATTTGCTGGTTTTAGTCCATTTCTGGAAAAAAAAAAAGTGTTATTGACCTTTTCTTTGTTTAAAATGTCACATTTTAAAAAGTTTTCTTGCACAAGACCCCCTGGAACTACCCGCCTGCGATTTGGTAGGTTTAATGCACTCTAGAGAAGCCCCCATGCCTGTAGATTTAATCCCCACTTCTGTCATAAGGGCAACAAGTTACAGCTGTTTTTTAGATTCTCCTGATATTTAGTATGTATAATGAGAAACACTAACAGACACAAAGTATTTCCTTGTGGCATCAGGGTCTAGTTTTTAGCAAAATGTCTCTACAATATAATTACTTTTTTACCACTGGTATCACTGGGCCCAAGAGTTCTTCCTACTTTATGGTTTACCACAGATCATGTGTATTTGCTTTCCTTTCCCCCCACTATACACAAGCACAAATGATTAACTGCAAAAATCCCGACTTCCGGGGTGGCGCCTCCGGAAAATGGCGGAATTCCCTTCGGACTGAAGGGAACCCGCTGCATGGAGGCTTGGGTCCTGCCGCTACGGCGCAGCGGGGACCCGCAAAAACCACAGGCGGAAGAAGCCTCTGAACGTGGGACTCGGCGGGCACCGAGAGCGCTCTCTCCCCTTGTACAGGAGCCCGGTAACGGGCTCCGGAGTGGGAGGTGCGTGGTGCTGTGAGTCGTCTGCTTCCTCCGTGCAGCAAAGCCGCACTGCCGTTATCGGAGAGCGCTGCCTTTTCCTGGACAATTTGGCATCTAAAACATCTATCCGTGAGTACCTGATCTTGGAAGAGCTGAACCACTTTTAAGACTGGTGAATAAATAAATAATATTGGACTTGAAATTGAACTTAATTGGGACTCGGAATGGGAAGGTCTAAACAGGAAGTCGCCTTCTGTTCTTTTGTTATGTGAAGAAAGCAAAGACAAAATATACTAAAGCCTGAAAATTAAATTTTAAGAGAACTAGAATTCAACATCTAAGATTCTGAACCCCCCCTTTGACAGCAGGAGAAAAAGGGGGTTGTATTTGGACTTTTCAATCCTGCGGAAGTGAGTTTAAAATAAAGCAATTTTCCACCGCCCTGAACCAGGAGCGGGCTGTCAGAATTGACGTTCTGAAGTTTATCCAGCTCGACAGTTAGTTAAAAGAAGGGTAACATTTTGATTCTACTGTTGCCTCTTGAATTTGGAAGGGGGAATTTTGGATAAAGTGTCTCTGGAAAAAGAAAGATTGTTGCTGTTGCTTTTATTCTTTTTAAAAAAAAAAATTCCATCTAGTGGAATTTAGTGAAATTGCAACGCAGAGAGATTAAAAGAGAAGGACTATTGGACTATTCTCGTGGGAAAGAATTTTTTTTTTTTGACCTTGAAGGACAATGCTAGTACAAAGGCTGGAACAATTGTTCCTGGAAGGTTTTTCAAAACTAAGTGCCCAGCTGGACCAGATGCGTCAGGAGACGACCTTGAGGATGGAAGTTACCAGAGCACAGCAGCAAACAAATGAAATTCAGTTAAAGGCTATACAAGTATACGAACCTGCTGTAGTGACGGAAGCTTCAGAGATGGAGGGACCTTTGGACGGGCAAGATCAGCCTTTGAACTTGATAAATGAACTTGGGACAAACCAGATTCGGAAAGATGAAATGTGGTTAGATTTGGAAATGGGGGGATGGATCGACCCCTCCATATGGTTATTTGGACCTTCCGAGTCTGGTGATGGGCTATCAGAGGATTGGAGTAGCCGAAGTCTCCAAGCTTTGTGGAAATTTGAAGTGGTATTATTTGCTGTCTGGCTTGGGCAATGGGTTTGGGATGGACTTGTTGCAAAGGGTCAAAAGCATTTTCTTGCTGGAGCATCCACGACTGGAAAGGAATCATCAACAAGAGTGGCGAAAGGGGCAAGAAAGAGACTTGAGGGCCTCGGATACGAGACAACCAGGTTAAGAGCCGGATTACCGAGGTTAAAAGGACTGACAATCCCGGGTCCAGGGGAGGGGAGGTTGGAAGCTGACTGGACTAAATTTGACTTATTATTTTTTTTTTTTCTACTTTTTAATATTGGGAATGCTTATAAATGTTTGAAGGATGTTGAATGAAATTACATGACTTAAGTAAGGATTGGTAAATGATTCGTAAAAAGGTAATGATGCAAGAATTTGGTAAATATTGAATATAAGCTATGAGTTTTAAAGTTTTTATAAGACAAGAGGGAAAATAGAATAAGGAAAAGTAATGACAGATTGTTATGAAAAAACAGAAAGGATTTGCTGTAAAAATTAAAAATTAAGAAACAAAAGAGGGGAGGAGGAGGAAGTCTAGAAAGGAAGTCAATAGAGATTGTAAAGGACTTAATATTTTTGTTTTTCTGTTTCTCTTTTTTTTTCTTTGCGGCTGGGTTTTCTTTTCTTTTTTGGTTTATGCACTAATTTTGTTTTTTGTATCCTAAAATTTTTTTTTTTTTTATTTTTGGAAATTTTTGTTGTTATTCTTTGAAAATTCAATAAATATTAATTATAAAAAAAAAAAAATAACTGCAAAAATCCCTGTTTATGTCAGGTCTCCTTTCTGTGATTCCAGGATACGGTTGTGTTTGTGCGTTCTGGATATCATCCAGGAACACATGTATGGAAGAAAATATTTTGATAGTTTATCATCCAAATATTAGCATACAAACAAAAAGAAACTTTTAAGGATCTGCCAAGGAAAATGAGGGGGCAGGGGATCCAAAGTATCTTAAGGGAAAAATTCCTGAAGCAAAAATGCAAAATGTACTCACATCTATGTGTTGTACGCAAACCAAAAAGATGGCAGCCGGCCCAGGGGTTAAGAGCGCAAGCTGTGAGACTGCTGGTTCAAAGCTCACACCTTAGGCAAGCCGCTATTTCGCAGGAATGAATACTACCTTGCAGGACTATTGTAAAAGTATGGAAATAATGCACATGAACTGCTATTAAGACTCAAAAGCACTATTAGGTCATTTGTTTTTATTTATTTTTAAAGGGAAAAGCTGGATCAAGATTAGCAAGAATCCTTGTGAAGGAATAAAAGGCCAATTTGAACAAGGTGCAGTTTTGCCAATTAAAAGGATTAAATGTTTGGTTCAAGAACACCAGAACAACACCTGTAATATCTTCTCAAAAAATATTGTTTCATCCTCTTAAAGCAACTTTCATTTCTGTAAAACGACAGGGGTTCCCCTAGCCCACCCCATATTATTTTCTCTATGACTGTTTACTGATGAAGAGTAATCACTCTGGGACAGCATTTTATTTTTTTAATCAACAACCAGAACCATTTTTTTCCTAAAAGTTTTTTTCTTAAGGCTTTTATTATTATTATTATTAACAAAAGAAACATTGTGGAAAGAGGCGAAGGAAAACAACATACTTCAATTACACTTTATTCTGACCACAAATTACTTTTTACCCCCTACAGAGTTAAGGATCTGAAAATGCCATTTCAGAAAGAACATAAAGCAGCCATCCGTACCTCCCTTTTACAAGTTTGCCTCCCCATAGTCAGTGTAAAAAAATGATGGAGCCAAATTGGGAAGAGAATGCAAGTTGGAGCTATAAATATTTATTTGAACTGGGTTTGCCAAGGTATATTGATTCCACTGATTTGTTGTTATTTTTTTAAAAAAGGAAGAGGAGGAAGATGAAGAGTGTTGGAAATAAGAAAACCCAATTAGAAATTTAAAATTCAATAATGTCGTTTACCTTCTCTTCTGGCTGTCTTCAGAGCACAAGGCTTGGCACATCAGAGCAATTAGGCAGAACCAAAGAACTGCTAGTGCAATTATTCTCCAGTCACTGACTGATTTAATAAGGGGCACGCAGCCCATTGACCAATCAAAACACAGCCACCAGGGACACAGCAGCAACCATGCATTCAACGAATAGTAGTAATTATAGTTTATAGCCTGTCAGTCAAAGGAAAAACAAACATTTACTTCATACTGAACTTTAAGAGGCTGTTAGGAAGGGGGGAAGGGGGTAAAATCACTACTACTTTTTCAGATTGCCTAGTTTTTATTTAAGCCTCCTCTTTAACAAAACTGTTTATCAGATAAAACACCTATTGGCTCCAAGACTCTAGCCTAATCAAATGTAAGTTAATTAACGTTATCTCAGTGTAATTGCATGTTCTGCTGTCCCCTGTTCTCCACTCTACAAATTTGGCTGCCCAAAAGAATCTTCTTTTCTAGGAAGGCTTGTATGGTTACAATCCAGTGTGTGCTACTGGCAATATCCCACTTCTGGCTTTTGCTCAAAGTTCTTTGGCTTCTGCACCCAACAGTGGGCTCTGCCTTACGCAGCTCCAGAGGTCAAAGCATAGAGAACATATGTGACTGAAAAACTACGGCTACTCAGATCAAGACAGTTCCGTATCATTAATCTAACCAGAGTGTGGTAGATCCAGCAGAGCCATTAGACATTTCCAAAACAAAAAAAATCCCCTGATCCATAGGTGAGCATTAATTTTTTTTTAAAAAAAAAGGAGTGGGGAGACCTTGGTAATATGCCCCCCTTGTGGTGCCGGCTTAAGCTGGGCTTTGGGCAAGAGGCACGAGGCTCTGACAGGGTCCCACAGCCCTCCTACCTTCTTTTCGAAGCCCAGTAAACACTTGTCTGGCTTGGGAAGGAGGCTGGAGGATTCTAGGACCAGTGGCGTGCAGCCAGTGGCTTCAGGGGACTAGGCTAGTCCCTTAAATGTTCCCCTGGCACCTCTGGCCCCAGGAAGCTTCTGCCTGGCTTAGGCAGGAAGGAACGACGCTCACACGCACAACGTCGCAACATACCACACACAATCACCTTCACAAGCTAGTCCTCTGGTCCTAACTTTTCCCCTATGAAAAATTTCACCGCACATCACTATCTAGGACCCTGTCAGAGACCTCACACCTCCTTCCCAAAGCCAGGTTAGCATTCACTGGGCTTTGAGAAGGTGCCCTCCTTGGCTGTGTGCCCAGTGTGACCACACTACTTGCACTACCCAAAATCTGCTTCTGACCCTGGAGAGAGGGTGACACCCTCCTTGGGTGCTTTTGCCTTGCTGGAATGAGAGCACCTTGAACTGGGGTAATGCCTCATGAGCTTGGAAGGGAGATGGACGTGTGTGTGTGTGTGTGTGTGTGTACCTCTGCCTTTTGCATGGCTGGAATGTAACCCACTGTACAAAGGTCAAGAGTCATGTTCGTTCCTCCCTTGGGAGTTGCCAGGAACTGAATGGGAGAACTTGCTACGTACAAAGCAGTTGTTCTGGAAATGACACATGGCTCCTCTGCTTTATTTTTTAGTCCTTAATTTGTTAGCTCACTGAAAAGCAATGCCTTTGCCACTTACCCTCACAAATATACTGTCTGCGAATGAAGCTGGGTTATCCACTTCAGTAAACGCCGGTGGTCCTGTGCCCATAATCCTCCAGCGCACATACAGCATGGTGGCTCCTCCAGATAACAGAAGAGTCATCCTGAACAGAAGTCCTTTTCTAAACACCACTAGGCTCTAGAGAGGAAGAGCAGAAGAAAAGGAAAAGCTCAGGTCATCACAACTTTTCCCTTTTAAAAACTGCAAATTCAGACAGATGGGTGTAACAGAAAATGTGTAGTGGGGGAGAGGGGAGGTAGTACTAATGCTTCTCTAACTTTGCCATCTACTGACCCAATTAATGATAATGATGATAGTAATAATAAGGGCTCCTGCGCTTGTAACAGACACATGGTAGAAAAAAGTTTGGTTGCTGTATTGTACTACAGTGATTTAATGGTGAGTGAAGCCATCCCACTATTAAAGACATCATATCCCCATACAGGCGAGACAGAGTACAGACAATACAACGCTGCCAACAAAGACTGCCAAGCATGGAGCGAATTGTGCAAGCAGCCCTGCGCTGCATTTATATTCCATTTTCCACAGAAGTGCAGAAAAGCCACAGCAGTCAGTGTGGTGCAGTGGTTAAGAGTGTTGGACACAAGTTCAAAGACCTATGCTGCCCTGAAGCTCACTGGGTCACCACCTCAGGCCAGTCTCTTAGTCTAACTTACCTCATAAAGTGGTTTTGGGGTGTGTGGAGAAAACCACACGCAGCTCCTTGGAAGAAAGGTGGGATATACAGTACATGGACTTAGGTGCTGCCTGGTGGTGCTTAATGGGGTAGAAGCAGGAGGAGGCAAATTGATGCAGTAGCCTGGAGCTGGTGTAATAATCAAGCCCAATTCCGCCACTGCCCCTCTATTCTCTTTTATGAGGCTGCTGCTAACGGGGATCCCACCAGTTACATTTCTGCCTACTGGCACATTCAGTGAGTAGAACATGTGGGATGTAAACACAGGAGCAGTCAATGACAACATTCCTAGAGTGTACATGTTAGAACATGGGGAGGGATGTCTGTCCAGCAAGCAGGTAAACTTCCTGGGGACGGACTTCCTCCGCATGTGACCAGAGGTGGGTGTGGCCTCACCTGTGCAGGTAATGACAAAAGCACAGGGCAGGCAGCCATCTCTCTCTCTCTGCCATTTTCTTTCGATGAGGAAACATCTAAGGGTGCTCTCTTGGCTCCCAGCCAAGAGAGGAGATAAGGACTATCTTGCTACAAGATAGATTCTGAATGTATGTAACCTTTTTAAGCTGTCTGCCTTCTGGGATCATATTGTGAACAGAACGTGAGTAAACTCTTTTATACTTTTATAAAGACTGTGTCATGTCTTGTATTTTAAGAGGGAACAAAGGGGAAATTACCAGAGTAATTATTATAGAGGTTCTAGCGAACCTGTGCACACGTTACCGTTGCGAACTGAAAGGGAATGTTTATAAACTCTGCTGATATTTTGGGAACTTGTTAGCACAAGTTGGATAAGGATATAATTAGTCAATATATCCTCTCCTGCACCCCAGAACATTCCCACAAAGGGTTATGGGCCCAGCACGCTTCCGCTGCGAACTTAAAGGGGAATGTTTATAAACTCTGCTGATATTTTGGGAACTTGTTAGCACAAGTTGGATAAGGATATAATTAGTCAATATATCCTCTCCTGCACCCCAGAACATTCCCACAGAACATGGGAACTTTTGTGCCGCCAGAAACGGCACTGGTGTCACTTGGCATGCAGAGGCTAGAGGGCTGGGTGAAGAGGTACCTCCATCCAATTAATGACCCCATCCCATCTGGCTCAAAGGGTTTTAGTAAGTATCCTGGCTTTTAAAGATAAAGTAAATCTTGAGTCCCACTTGCTGCGAAAGAAGGGTAAAACCAATGTGGGCAATCTCAGAAGCCAGCTTTCCCCTGTTGCCATTCTGCCACCCTTACCCAGTGGACTAAGATTTAAGACTTTGATGCGCCTATCCAGGATCGTGAGAAGACAGACAGTTTATGCCAGCAGTGGAAATAGATGAACCAAGAAGAAAAACAACATTCTGTGCCCAAGTAATCCAGGATTTCTGAAGAAAATAGATAGGTCTCAAAGCCTCTCCTCAGCTTCATATTTATTTTTATTCATGTTTGGAAAACTGCAGGAAGAAGCCTGCATATGAGAATCAATGGTGGTCCCATTTGAATCCTGGCCCAAATTAAGTTCAACAACTGTGAGCCACATGATAGCAACATAAAAGTTTGTGAGGCAACTGTCGTTATAGCAACACTGCCAGTTACTAGTATAGGGTACAGATATGAAATTCTTCAGCATATCCTCATATTATTAGTATCCTACCTTGCAGTATTACAGACACAACAGGGAACTGCAAGAACATGAAAGTCTAATAAATAAACTTGCTGTTTGCTCTGGTTCATCTACACCATAAAGATTTACAATAAAACATAGGCACCAATCTTCAGCATACTGACTTGGAAATATGCCCCACTGAAATCAATGGGGTTTGCTTCCAAGTAGGCACGTTTGGAGTTGGTTGCAAAGGGAAAGAAGATGCATAGTATTATCAAAGCTTTTGATCAGGCATGCGAAACAGCAAGTTTTTAAAAAGAATCTGTATATATTTTATTTGTTACATCAGGCACAAGAGTACTCTCACTGCTTTAACCACCCTGAATTTATAAAATTTAGAATTTATCATGGTGGCAATAGTTATTTAAAGTATGGAACAGCCACCATGACATAGCATTTCTTACTCAACAACCACATGTAACTGTATTTAGCATTTCACTGTATTTGACAGATGACATGCAACACTAACAAATAAATAACCAACACCCTGTTTTATTTTGTACAGTGGATACGCAATGTAATATGAGATTTGGCAGCAGCTCACAGCAGTTGACAATTGCTAAACACCAAAAACAATCAAAGGAGACTGCTAACACTAGAGTTTCAAATTCTGCGGTAAAATGTCAAATGAACGCTTTAATTTTCAGCAGAGTTTTTTTTAATTAAAAAAAAAACATTTAGCTTAATGAGCTACATTGCAGGGGGTTGGACTAGATGATCCTTGGGGTCCCTTTTGGCTGGGGAAAGCTCTCACAGAAGCCGTTAGAGAGAAAGAGCTACATTAGGAGGCTGAGGTTTGGAAATTTGAATAGTCATTTGGCTAAAAAACTGAGCCCCCCCCCCAAAAAAAAAGGAGGGAGAAAAAAAGGAGAGAAGGCAGGAGAGATGCTAACAAGAATGGGCACCAGGAAGAAAAATCTAAGGGACTTAAAGAGATGCATGTTGTAGCCTGGAAGAGGTTTAGGAAGAGAGAAGCAAGTGTTGGTCGGTCAACTTGTGGCCAGTCAAAAGCAGGATAAAATGGAATGAAAAGTATGGACTTACAAGAACAGAAGACAGTAAAGATACGAAGCTAAACAAAGGAGACCATAGGAGCCAACTCAGCTTCCCCAATAAAATATTTGAGGGGCATTGCCATTCAAATGGTGTGCATGCACCGTTTCTTATGCGGGGCAGGGCTTACCTTAAAACCCCCCCCCGGCCAATATTTTATTCAAGTTTGGACCCCTGAAAGTAAGCCTGGAACAAAGGTTCCCATAAGGCAGGCATAGGCAAACTCGGCCCTCCAGATGTTTTGGGACTACAACTCCCATCATCCCTGACCACTGGTCCTGTTAGCTAGGGATGATGGGAGTTGTAGTCCCAAAACATCTGGAGGGTCAAGTTTGCCTATGCCTGCCGTAAGGCCTGAACTACATAGGGTGAGGACTGAGGAAATTCTGTACGCTACTGCTACAGAAAGGAAGTGAGCAAGCCAGGGGACTTTAAAAGTTCAGGAAGGCGATTTTTAAAATATATATATTTGCATTATATTTTTTTAAAAACCCCACACACAAAACAGGGACACAAATCTACATATCACCTACTCATCTTAAGGTGGCACAAAGCACAATGTATATTCATTGTTAAAAAAAAAAATCCAAAACAAACAACAGAATTGTGATCGGAAGACAAGAGTTGCTAGGTCTGCCCTATTGGAAAATGAGATTTTAAAGGATGTAATTTTGTTATTCTAAGAAGAGTTAATCTGATCCACATGATTAACTAGTTTTAGTAGCATTCCCTCTGATATTCAGAGCAGTGCTCCACAGAACAGTTGCAGTAAGTCATGTTAAAGGATCTGCAATATTGAGGCTTATTGGGGCTGAAATCATGAACACTCACATTTTGAAGGCAATGTTCTGTCATAGTGTTTGACCTCCAAATAATCTCACTTACTAGATCAAAGAACAGCTTGCTCTTTCATGCTGCTGTAGATGTATTGACGCTAACACTTAAATGCTAACTGTATGAAGTTAAAGCGGCAGCTCTTTTAAATATATAAATGGAATCACCTCCAGCGACTTGTCCTTGCGCAGTATCTTCAAAAGAACTTCCAAAATATTGAGCTTGTTAATCATCACAGCATCAAAAAGAGCGTTCAAACCCTAAGAAGACAGGGATGAAAACAAAACAGGGAGAAGGTGAAAGAAGGTTAAGAAAGAGAAAGGAGAGATTTGTCTCGTTTAAATTTTGGTATGTATTTACACTATCTCCACTGCCTTGCGGGATATCGTCAAGAAGGGAAAAGCTAAGGATTAAACACTATACATATCCAGAGTGGAATCCCTAAGATGGTTGGATGGTGCCTTATATGCCTCCTTCTGGCAACTCCTGCAGCCAAACTGGTGCCAAATGTATTGCTCTGCTTTCCTTTGGGCTGTATCAGTGAGCTCGAAAGGAGGGACGTCATCTGGGCAGCCCAGGACCTCCATACATACTGCCCAGGATTGTGCCCTGCGAAGGTCACTTCTTAATGCAGCAGTTTCCCTTCACCGCCAGAGGCACAATCCACCGTCTCTTGAGACAGATGGATACCAACAAGAGTTACACCATGCAGTTCAATAATTACTCTGGATCTGTGTAGGTCTCTTAAGCCTCAGTTCAATTACTTAAAACAAGCCTTTCCCACCCTGTTTTGGACTACATGCTGGCTGGGGTTGACGGAAGTTGTAGTCCAAAATGTGTGGAGAGCACCAGATTGGAGAAGACTGGCCTAATCCACTTCATTTAACTATTTATTTGTTTAAACAGAATTTCTATAACTGACATGAAAGTTTTTTTGTTTTAAAAATCCGTATATACATTTTATGAAATAAATAAATATATACATTTTTTGAAATAAATAAATAAAAACAGCTGCTTAATTTCTGAAAACCTCAAAGCGGTTTACCATAGGTCATCCTGAATGAACTGTGACAAGCCTGGTGTGCTTCTCCTCCACGTGCAAGAGAAGCAGGGAAAACACTTTGGAACAAAGCTCAGATCAATGTTAATATACAAAAACACCTGAGAAACAAACCAGGAAGTTAATCCAGAGTTTTGACATCTCGGTTTGTTTAAACTAACTTTGGTTAAAATAAGCCAGTGTCCCCAAATTTTTAATGTGGCCCCCAAGTGAAACTGTGGTTTATTCTACAATGAAAGGGGAAGATTTATCTCTCCTTATTTTGTCTGAAAAGGAGGAGGGAGCAGTGCCTCAGCCTACAGTTCACTGCAACTCATTCATGAGGGCCTTCTCGGTAGTGGCACCCGCCCTGTGGAACGCCCTCCCATCAGATGTCAAGGAAATAAGCAACTATCTGACTTTTAGAAGACATCTGAAGGCAGCCCTGTTTAAGGAAGTTTTTAATGTTTGATGTTTCATCGTGTTTTTAATGTTCTGTTGGGAGCCGCCCAGAGTGGCTGGCGAAATCCAGCCAGATGGGGGGGGTGTATAAATAATAAATTATTAATTATTATTATATGTTCATCCACACCATTCTTTAGGAGTTGATGGAACTGGACTAAAGCTTGAGTGACTTCCATGTAACCAATAACTTCCTACTGTCATTACATGAATGGTTGTATAGCATTGCTATGAAAAGTCTTCCACGCTATGCCTTCCTTGCACGTGGTGAAGAGTTGGGTCTCATACCAAGAGTCCTAAATTATCAGTCTCATAGAAAGAAATGGGAACAACGAGGCAATAAGACACTCTTGCAAGTCTTAACCAAGTATAATGCAGACAGACTTGGGAGATTATTCATGGAACCATTGGTGTACATTCTTCAGTAACACCAACAATAACTCATGTAGTGAAATCAGCACTCAGCACACCTTCAGACTTGGCGAACACTAAATCTGAAAGCATTTGCAATAGAAATCAGAAAACAAAAACAGGAAAAGAGGAAAGATTGTAACGATTATCGTTGCTGAATTTACCACGTTTTCTGCAAGACAGCCTAAGCGATGCACAAACCATAAGGGACACATATTTTGCCATATGAAGAGAGTTTATTTAACAGTGAGCTGCTTTTGGCTGATAAGAAACGTCAATGTTTAACTGTTAAGAGAAGACTTACCAGTATTGTGATTCCTTGTTCTTTACACAGCATGGCTAGAGCTCCTAGGAGGACGCTAAGTAAGACCCAGGCAGTAGAAAATTGGGCTCCTTCTTTACCTATCAGTTTAAAAACAGGGCATAAAGAAAAGAAACTGACAACATATAGAAGCATTGACATTGGCCCTAGGTGGAAAGCTGTTTTAGAATAAGTTCTGTCATTCAAGGATATGCTCTTTGTTAATTACTTTAAAAATGTTTAAGATAAGAGAAAATGTGGTCTGCTTTTCATGGTTGAAATTTTCAGTAAGACAGATAGAATGTAGACACACATGTTCATTCCATTAGCAAGTTACTGCCTGACATTAATATACAATAAATTCTGTTAGCAAATTTTAGGCTTCTGCTACAGATTAAGAGTACAGCACAAGCTTTTTAAAAAGCAATAATTTGCACATAGATCTACCAAGCAAGTCAAAAATATCCCTCTGAACAAAAATACTGTGATTAAAATTGGCTGCTTTCCCAATACCAAATGGGAATTTTCTGAAGCCTTTCCACAAAATGTTATTTCGCACACCCTTCCCCCCACAACAGTGACTTCAGAAAACCCTTCCATTTGCCAACTCCGTAATGCTACTGATTTCAAAGTCACAAACAGAGGACCTGTTCTCACTTTGCATTCTGTGCTCCAATATGGATACCCACCTAAAGTGCAAAATAAATGTCTCTTGGTTCGTCGGAAAGGAACATTAATAATTAATTAATTAACGTTACTTATAATTCAACAGTCAGGGTCAAACGAGACAAAATAATGGAGATCAATGAGTGGGCCTCCTTTCTCTTTTCATTTATTTTCAAAGCAGTCTTGGAGTTCTGAACGGGATGAGGATCACTGCATTGGATGATGGGATTTAAACCTTCTCCCTGCACCATTCACGCAGTCTGAACACATACTCCCCACAATCTGCTAGTTGTCCTGTTTACCTGTATGTTTGCGTACCTGTATGTTTTCCTGAATAAGGAAAATAGTGCTTACATTATAGGTGCTGGTTTTGACCTTTAAAGCCCTTCACGGCCTAGGACCCTCTTACCTACAGGACCGCCTCTCCCTGTATGGCCCACGGAGAGCCTCAAGGTCCATAAATAGCAACACCCTAGTGGTCCCGGGCCCTAAGGAATTTAGATTAGCTTCAGCCAGAGCCAGAGCCTTTTCAACACTGGCTCTGACCTGGTGCAACGCTGTGCCTCATGAGACCAGGGCCCTGCAGGATCTGATTTCTTTCTGCAGGGCCTGTAAGACAGAGTTGTTCCACCTGGCCTTTGGCTTGGGGCCAATTTGATTCCCTCCCCCTCTTTCTTTTTTCTTTTCCTTTCTCCTCCTGCGATGAGGCTACATTTTAATATTTTAATGTTGTATTTTAATTTTGTTTTTAAGTTGTATTCATTCAACTTATTTTTATTATTGCTTGTTAGCCGCCCTGAGCCCGGCCTTGGCTGGGGAGGGCGGGGTATAAATAAAAATTATTATTATTATTATTATTATTATTATGCTCCCAAACAAGATTTGTGGTAAGGCTCAATACATGTATGAGAGTCAAAGTACTGGACTAGGACAACTCAACTTCCAATCCCCATTCAGCCATGAAACTCACTGGATGACCTTGGTCCAGTCACGCTGTCCCAGCCTAACCTACTTCACAGGGATGTTGAGAGGATAAGATGGGGGTAGCTGTGTGTATGTGCCACACTGACCTTCTTGGAGGAAAAGTGAGATATAAATGTAATCATAAAATAAATAATAATAAATGCATGCAGATCCTTATACTACATATGGCAAAAGCAACATCTAGACCAGTTCACTATGGGAATCTTTTCAACTCATCCTAAACCTTTAGAAAGTGATGGGCAAAAAGTAAATGCATTTCATTTCTAAGATTCTTGGGCCAGCATCAATCTTCGCTCTGAATGGGAATACAGATCTATGCTAAAAAAGCACACTGATGTTCAAGGTTTGAAAATTCTATATATTTGTATATTCATTTGTGTGTGTGTATGCGCATTTTTGCATGCACAATCTTCATTCTCATCCCTAAAATGGGCATTATACAAACTTATTTAAAAAAAAACTTATAAAAAACCCCCAGAATATGAAGTCCAACAGATCCAAATAGTCAATTTCAGTTTTGATTCTCACTCAATAGCACCGAAAATGTAAAGCAATGAACAAGTGCCAGCTATTACTCTGGCTGCACACATGCCAAGTGTGCTAATCAGCTTAACGAAGCACACTCCCTACAACAATGCTGCTTTCTCCCACCACGATCTCCTTTCAGAGAATGGAACTCATTCCTGGTTGGCACCTGAACCGAGTTTAAACTGGTGCACCATATTGTGAGAAGGCACTCTGCCACCCTCACCAGATGGCCACCAGTGTAATCCGTGCCAAAGATTTGCGGAAAGCATTTGATTCCTGTTCCAGAAAGCTAAATGCCCACAAGTGTTTCTGTCATTTTATATAAGAGAATCTAGTTTACAGAAATAGATTAAATTCATACTGCGAGGCCATGCAACTTGTACATTCATTTTATGCTCCAATGAAGTCATTGTGGGACTGAGGTCTATTTGGGTCGAAGGCTTGGCTGAACATTTACATCTAAAGCCTGGGTTCTCCCTCTAGCAATTAATAGGCAGCTTTGATTCCAAAGGTTAATGTGTAAGAGCAGAGACGGCTCTGGATTTGTACCACAGCACTACCCAGTATCTGACACAAATCATACGAATTGATGAAGCAGTGGCCATACGTAAACAAAAATGGGACTTGACATAGAATGTTGCAGTGTATCCCTGGGAGGGGAAACTGAGGGCCACATTGCCTTATAGGAAAACATCTGGGGGCCACATGCCAGTGTTAGTTGCAAACCACGGGAGAAAGAAGGCAGAGCAATGGACTTTGTTATAGTAGGTTACATTCCAGCAATACAAAAGTTAAGAGGATTCTGGATATACACCACACAAATATCTCCATCCTTTATTCGGGCAGGAAGCATTATCACAGTTCAATGACACATTCCAGGCAAGCTAAAGCACACAGGGGAGTTGCCTGGAGCAGGGCTGGAGGGAGGTTTGGCCTGGGGAGAGATCCATGGGCCTGAGATTCTCCTCACCTCACAAGTATTCACTGAGGAGAGGCATGTAGAAAGGAAAAGGCTGCATGGTGTTAGAGAGCTCAGGTTTGAGACTGTCTCCTAGTCTTCAACCAGGAAATTTTACAGAGCAGGTTTTTCCTTTCCCCCCTCCTTATTAAACATCCCCATATAGCACAGGGAGAATTATTTTTAAACCTTTCCTATAAGCTGTTTGGAGCCTGAGCAAGCCAGGGTCTTCTCGCCCCCTAACCTCCATTTTTCTTTTTCTCGTCTCAAGTGCCACCCTAACATTCCATATCTCAAATCCTCTCAACCACCATCTAAATTCATAGATTGAAATGAGCCTCCTTGGGGTGTTTTCTGGCCCCATGCTGCTGAAGACGGCAGCAAGCAGTGGGGCTACGTAAAAAGTGGGTAAGGTTAAAAAAAAAAAGGAAAACGTAAATGACCCCTGGACGGTTAGGTCCAGTCAAAGGCGACTATGGGGTGCGGTGCACATCTCGCTTCAGGCTGAGAGAGCTGGCGTTTGTCCAGACAGCTTTCCGGGTCATGACTAAACTGCTTCTGGCACAATGGAACACCGTGACGGAACCCTGAGTGCACGGAAACACCATTTACCTTCCCACCATAGCGGTTCCTATTTAACTACTTGCACTGGTATGTTTTCGAATTGCTAGGTTGGCAGAAGCTGGGACAGAGCAATGGCAGCTCACCCCATTGCACTGACTCGAACCACTGACCTTCCGATCAGCAAGCCCAAGAGGCTCAGTGGTTTAGACCACAGCGCTACCCACGTCCCCTGCTATGCCAGGTAACACCACCCTCAAATGTTGCACGCTCCGATCCAGCTCTTTCTGCTCCCCACCCCAAGATCCACACATACACAAAGTGTTCTAAGGAATTTGTAATGCTGAGGGAGCTAATAGTATCTACAGGGGGCCTACAGTCTGCCCTCTTTCTGGCTCCCTTAGACTGTTTCCCCCACCTCCATGATTTTAGAGGAGCTATGATTTGTCAGCAGCGTACACCCCCCCTTCTTTCAAAACAGGGAGAAGCAATGGTGGGAGGTCCTTTCTTTGGAATTCAATGTGAATCCAGAAGTTTTCTCTCTCTAGACAATGAGATGCATTAGCATTTTCTTATCTCTCTGCCACTAACTGTAAAAACTCACACAACCAGAAAACCCTACATGAAGCTTAAGTATTGTTGAGAAGTGTAGAGGTCATTAAAATACAGCATAGCAGAGGTATACATAAAATATATACCACAGATCAGACAAGGGCAAAGACAAATCCAAATGATGGCATATAAATATTTAAAGAATTAAGGAGGTTTCCCTTAAAAAGCAGAAGCTAGCCCAAGTGAGTTAATATTTAAAAACAATGTAACTGTATAATGAAGCAAAAGAATAATAATATTGATGAGTAAATTGGCAAAGTCATAATAAATCATTGTTCTGATTAATGGCACAAATGTTAAGATGAAAAAAGCATGAAATAAGCACAAGGAAGGTACTGCAAGGAAACTGAGGAAGATTTTATAGCCATTGGGCTGCTCTTCAATATGGTGGTGGGGTACCTGGATCTGAAACATTTTGTTTGAACAGTGCATCTGAAGAAGTGAGCGAAACAGAGGTAACAAAGGAGACACAGTAAGCCTGCAACTTAATGTGCATTTAACTTGTGCACATTAAGCTTTACACGCATGGCAAAAAATAAAAATAGGCTGGAAAGGGGATAGAATGGGATCCTGGGAAAAACTGACTTTGTTTCGACTATATATGATTTTGGCTTTAGGCACGATGCCTAGAACGCATTTTTTCCCCTAAAATTAGGGTGCTGGTACTCACAATTAAGTTACATTAAGTGCCACACTTTTAACATTTTGGGGGGAGGTGCCAGTACTGCGTACCCTTGAGTGCCCCCAGAGAAAAAACACGGACCATAATCCTGACACAATCCTCTTTCCATCCTGGTATCAGTCTATGAATTACTAGCCTCCATGTGGTTTTTCAGTCAACTGTGTATCATCTGGAAAGGTTTCTTCTCATTCATAATTCTTCTAACCATATATCACATCTCTTTTAGGCCTGCTTCATATATGTAGAAGCATTTTATGTGAAGTAGGACTTGCATAGAGAGCTATACACACATGTATCTTACTTATAAGCCGACCAATTCATGAAGTATAAGGGTATCAGTGACCATTAATTATTATGGCTGCATACTTCCTCCAGGATCAGCAGCAACATGACTCTGATTATCAGCTGTTGGAAAACAAAAATATCCTGCTAGGAGGCTTCCCCTGAGGCATCTGGTTCATCCCTGTAGGAAAGAGTCTGCTGGACTAGATGAGTCTTTGCTCTCATCTATCAGAGCTCTTTTTAGGATGCTGGCCATCATGCACTTAGGCCATCAAAAATATTCATTAAAATTCTGTCCTGTGTTTCAACCCACACAGAGGTCCTTAAGGAGGCTGGCAACAAAATGCAATTAAAAACACATGTGTATAGTCCATAAATTTCACATATATGTGCACTATACCCTTTCCCCCTCCAATTCCAATGATTCTTCCAGTTACAGAAAAGGCAGATATACGTGCAAGCACTTAATTCATACACTACTTCCTACATGCAACATTAGAGAGATGGGGGACTGGTGACACAAACTGGGAGCACTTTGATCTCTCACCACCATATTATTAATTAGGTACCAATTTTCGTTGTTTTGGTGGTGCTCTAACGGACTGATCTGCTCAGAAACCGATGGTGTGTGTTCAAGTACTTACTTTCTCTAAACGCCTTGCAGTAGCCAAGGAAAGACAATAAAAAGAACAGGGCGCACAGCAGGTCTGCTCTGCCAACAATCCCAGCGATCTTGAAAAAGAAAAGAAAAGGGATTTAATTACCAAAATAGAAGTTTCCCCTCAAGTGAAGTAGTGTGGAAGGCTAATTGCTTTTTTAAAAACCGTTGCATCAGCGCCACCAGGGATTTGTGAACAGTGGCCACAATACAGCCCAAGTGAAGCATGCTGAAGACCCCTTGATCTCAATATGAGAGAATTAACCAAAGGCTTCATCAGCTCTTGTTGGAATCAATGAGCCTTTAAGAGCAGTTAACTTTAGCTGGGTTGAACCCATTCTCATTAAGTGGGAGCCCTTTCCCATGCTGGAAGTCAAAATAGAGAGTTCCTGCACGTACAAAGAGCCCTTGGATAAGACGTTTACACACCACGCAAATTCTAGATATGCGAGTTTGAATGGGGGTATGTAAGATAGGAGACGGCACTTACAGAACCCCCCTACCCTGGCAGGAAAATACCAGGGAGGTCAAAACAACTCATCCTTGTTCAAATATGTTCAAAACCGGCTTCATCGATCAATGGCACAGGTCCCTTCTCAAGGCTAATGTTTTCATGCTAGTCCCTGCATATACTGCTGGTGGAACCAAGAAGTCAACTGTGCTGGCTGGCTGTGCTCAGTCTAAACAAGAGTCTACAAAACTCTCCTTTCAACAGTCACCTTTGGATAACAGGATAGCTATCATCTTTTTATCTCCAGGGAGCAGGTAGAACGAAGTGAGCTCAAAGAAGAAGTGGATTCTCCTTTGGGCTGTACGGCATTCCCTCTCTGAGCATTCCTCTCTACCCTGCCATTGGTCACCTGAGCCTTCTCCTCTCTCCTAAGTGACCTTTGAGGACCACCAAGATCCATATCCCAACACTCACCATAGGGACAAAGAGAGGCTTGACAAAGAGGGGTGGGGCAGGAGACAGTGGCTGTAGACAAGGACAAGGATGGAGGGGAATGTGCAAAATACTGGAAAGAAGGGGTTCTTGTGGAATTTTTTGTGCCCTCCAAAGCAACAGCTTTTGCAAGAAAAATAAAACCTCACAAAAATGGTTTCTACAGCTTCAACCCATTGTTTAATGAATGGGTATTTTGGAGCGATATCTCCTTAGCCCAAGCCAAATATATTACCTATTGAACCAAACCCAAGACTCGCTGGGAAGTGAAAACACTATGAAGAACAAGTGTTTCTACAACCATTTTATATATGAAAAGTCTTAAGATTCCTTCCATTTATATCCACCAGCACAAAAGAAACTAGACAACTCCCCTGGAAACAGATTCTAATAATAATTTGTCAAAATATGTCATTTATGTGGAAAATCAATACAGTTGCTATTTCAAAAACATCTGGCTTTTCATCATCTCCAGATTTTGCATGTTTTTACACTCTGATATTATTGTACCACGATAGCTGCCATTAAATGCATCAGGTGTTAAAAAAAAACCCCAACCTATCAGCTTCTGCAAAATTAAGAATTCTCAACAGAAATTCACTTTCATTTAGCAAAGACCTACAATGTGAAAAGTGAGGTGCATGAACTTATGAAGTAGCAGCAAAGTTAACTATTAAAGAGCAGATATCTAGTGAGTAGTCTGAACACCAGATTCGAAAATCCAGGGGGAGTCAATGTGATGCAATTGAGATGTTGTTGGACTCCAATTCATTTTCACTCCAGCCAACATGACCAATGGTCATAGATGTAGGAAGATGTAGTCCAGCAAAATCTGGAGGACATCACATTGGCAATCGTGGCTATAACCTTACTGAAACTAAAAGGTAAAAAGGTAAAGGTACCCCTGCCCGTACGGGCCAGTCGTGACCGACTCTGGGGTTGCGCGCCCATCTCGCTTAAGAGGCCGGGGGCCAGCGCTGTCCGAAGACACTTCCGGGTCACGTGGCCAGCGTGACAAAGCTGCTCTGGCGAGCCTGCACCAGCGCAGCACACGGAAACGCCATTTACCTTCCCACTATAAAGCGGTACCTGTTTATCTACTTGCACTTAAGGGTGCTTTTGAACTGCTAGGTGGGCAGGAGCTAGGATCGAATGACGGGAGCTCACCCCGCCGCGGGGATTCGAACCGCCAACCATACGATCGGCAAGTCGTAGGCGCTGAGGTTTTACCCACAGCGCCACCCGCGTCCCTACTGAAACTAAGCAGGTGCTTAAATGGGGGGAGATGGGAGACTATTGGGAACTCCATGTAAGAGCAGGAGATATATAAATATAAATCTAAAGAACAAAACTAAAAACCAGACCCACAAAACATAAGAGAGTTGCCAGATTGAACTATCTCCCCTCTCATTCCCCCACGTGCTGCTATGAAGGTTCTCCCAGCTCTCTGGAGCAGATCTAGGGAGGGTGCTCAGGGACATGTAGGGGGGGGGGAGTTCCACTGCGCAGAAATCCTAGCACTGGCTTCTCCTAGCGCAAGTTAGGATTAGTCATGTGCAACAAACAAACAAACCCCAAAAGAACAAAAAAGCACGGTTGCATCAATACAAAGCACATGCAAATGTACACAATGTATACATTCACACCCACCCCACACCTATGGATTGCATAATACATGTATTTGAAAGGATAAGGAAGATTAAATATTGTTAATGGACTCTGGGTTTTTGAGCTTTTAATACTTAAATCGTGAAGTACTTACACATTCAGTGTGCACTGGATGTACAGCAAACAGCAAAGCCGCGAGCAGGGATGATTTGGGGACAAAGTTTAGCCGTCTTCCTTTACTGGTGTACTGCAGCCCACCCAATAATATTGAGAAGACATCAACAATTAAGACAGAGATAGCACAATGGAGTATTATATTGACGACATGAAAGCCCAATGGGTAGAAGCCTCCAGCTAAAAGGTAGTTAATCCTACACAAGGGGGGAAAAACATTGATGTTAGAAATGACAACAAATGAATGGATTAAAATGCACAAATATTTTTAAAAAAATAAATTCTGAATAAATCTGGATGTATTCATCAAGACGGCAGTGTCAAACTACTTACTATCGATGCACAGTGGAAACAAGTTATGAAGAGAGCAGGAGCAGCTCTTCTGTTGGGGTGGAGCCACAAGGGAAGGGAGTCATCGTTGCTTATCGGGAGAGAGGGGAGAGAAGGCAAAAGTCGGCACACCAGTGAGAGCATTTGATTGGTTCCGTTGGTGCACCTGCATTCTGCTGACTTTCCTGTTGCCTTGTCCACCTCTCCCAGTAAGCAGCTGTGGAGCACCTGCTGGGAAGGTATCATTTGGCTCTGCTTCTGGAAGAGGGGCACACACAGGTAGGCACCTTAACATTGGGCCTAGCAACAAGAACATGTTGCTGAAGAGGATAGGAAGCCAACTCTCTCCCCCTCCTAAATGTGCTCTTCTCCATTCAGTCACTCCTTTTCAGTTCATTTTCTTTCCCTCTTGCTCAACTCCTCCTTTTTTTATGCACTCATTTTTCCCTTCTCTGCAATATATCAAAAGGAGCCCCGGTTTTGAGCCAGAGCTTTCAAGGTCACAGGGTAGTATTCAACTATGTTTTACTCCAGAGCAGACCACTGAAATTAATGATCAAGTTAGGTATGTTAATTTCAATAGGTCTACTCCCAAGTAAAACTTAGTTGAATACCACCTGCAGTTCCAGAACTTCTTCCAGTGCTAGAGCAATGTGTGAATAGTAGGAAGATGTCTTTGCTATAAGGCAGCTTTCAATGTTCCCAGCAACTAAGTACTCCTTGATAAGAAGACTGTGGGCGAGAGGAGGAAAAGATTGAATGCACTAGTGCAAACAGGGACTCTCCTTTCAATGGCACACAGATTTTCCTGGCTAAGGTGCCCCTTAGAAAATACGTTTATAAATCCAGTTATCCCCTCTTCTCCATCAGCAGCCCCAGATGCTCAGTGCTGTGTTTCATATGCAAGATTGAGTCAGAGAGGGATAAAGTAAGGTGTCTGCGTGATGCTTTTTTATTTTTTTTAGGAGGCGGGGAAGAGAAGGAGAATTGGATACACCTTTGCAACACACCTGCTCCCTGTCAGAGACACATGCTTTGGGGTTGTTCTGTGCTGGTCTTCCATCTGTTGACACAGGAGACTGGAATAATAGATGGGCCTGTGCAAAAAGTGTATGCAGTTCTGCCGGCCACGATTCCTGCTTTTTCTCTCCCCACCTCCAGGGCATTCTGCCATTCATTCATAAAGAAAGTTATACGCTAAAGGAAAGAAGAGTAGAAAACGTGTGCCAAAGCAGTAAGGGTGTTGTGTTTGAAAACCACTCACTAGAGTTTGCTTCTTCAGCACAACGTATCATTTATTATATTATGTGTGATGGCAAGTATCTTTCCTCAATCATCACACTCTCATCATATGACTTCCCATTTCACTTAAGTGGTTATACATTTTCAGAGGACCTACAAAGTTGTGTCAATTAAAAAAAAACCTTCATTAAAAATATTGGAAAATATGCATGGTGACGTTTGGTTGTTAAGAACTAGCTTGATGCACCTCCATGGTCCTCTGTAACCAAGAAGTGACCTTTGATGTCTATGTGATACCGTATTTTTCGTTCTATAGGACGCACATTTCCCCCTCCAAAAACTAAGGGGAAATGTGTGTGCGTCCTATAGAGCGAATGCAGGCTGCGCCGCTAAGCCCAAAGCTAGAACAGGAAGACGGAGCACTGCGTAGCGCTCCTTCTCGCTGTTCTGGCTTGTGAACAGCCTGCTAGCTTCTGCAGGACAGCGGGGTGAAGGCACCCCGCTGCCCTGCAGAGGTTTGCGCGCAGCCGTCCCCCAGCTAGAGCAGCGAGACGGAGCCCTCCGTCTCGCTGTTCTGGCTTGGGAACAGCCTTGCTAGCTTCTGCAGGACAGCGGGGTGAAGGCACCCCGCTGCCCTGCAGAGGTTTGCGCGCAGCCCTCCCAAGCTAGAGCAGCGAGAAGGAGCCCTCCATCTCGCTGTTCTGGCTTGGGAACAGCCTTGCTAGCTTCTGCAGGACAGCGGGTGAAGGCACCCCGCTGCCCTGCAGAGGTTTGCGCGCAGCCGTCCCCAAGCTAGCAGCAGCGAGACGGAGCCCTCCGTCTCGCTGTTCTGGCTTGGGAACAGCCTTGCTAGCTTCTGCAGGACAGCGGGGTGAAGGCACCCCGCTGCCCTGCAGAGGTTTGCGCGCAGCCCTCCCAAGCTAGAGCAGCGAGACGGAGCCCCCGTTCTCGCTGTTCTGGCTTGGGAACAGCCTTGCTAGCTTCTGCAGGACAGCGGGGTGAAGGCACCCCGCTGCCCTGCAGAGGTTTGCGCGCAGCCCTCCCCTTGGGGACGGCTGCGTGCAAACCTGCTCCAAGGGGAGGGCTGCGCGCAAACCTCTGCAGGGCAGCGGGGTGCCTTCACCCCGCTGTCCTGCAGAAGCTAGCAGGCTGTTCCTAGCCAGAACAGCGAGACGGAGGGCTCCGTCCTCGCTGCTCTAGCTTGGGACAGCTGCGCGCAAACCTGCTCCAAGGGAGGGCTGCGCGCAAACCTCTGCAGGGCAGCGGGGTGCCTTCACCCCGCTGTCCTGCAGAAGATAGCAAGGCTGTTCCTAGCCAGAACAGCGAGACGGAGGGCTCCGTCTCGCTGCTCTAGCTTGGGGACGGCTGCGCGCAAACCTGCTTCAGGGAGGGCTGCGCGCAAACCTCTGCAGGGCAGCGGGGTGCCTTCACCCCGCTGTCCTGCAGAAGCTAGCAATGCTGTTACCAAGCAAGAACAGCGACACGGAGGGCTACATCTCGCTGCTCTAGCTTGGGGACGGCTGCGCGCAAACCTGCTCCAAGGGGAGGGCTGCGCGCAAACCTCTGCAGGGCAGCGGGGTGCCTTCACCCCGCTGTCCTGCAGAAGCTAGCAAGGCTGTTCCCAAGCCAGAACAGCGAGACGGAGGGCTCTGTCTCCCTGCTCTAGCTTGGGGAGGGCTGCGCGCAAACCTCTGCAGGGCAGCGGGGTGCCTTCACCCCGCTGTCCTGCAGAAGCTAGCAAGGCTGTTCCCAAGCCAGAACAGCAAGACGGAGGGCTCCTTCTCGCTGCTCTAGCTTGGGGACGGCTGCGCGCAAACCTGCTCCAAGGGGAGGGCTGTGCGCAAACCTCTGCAGGGCAGCGGGGTGCCTTCACCCCGCTGTCCTGCAGAAGCTAGCAAGGCTGTTCCCAAGCCAGAACAGCGAGATGGAGGGCTCTGTCTCGCTGCTCTAGCTTGGGGAGGGCTGCGCGCAAACCTCTGCAGGGCAGCGGGGTGCCTTCACCCCGCTGTCCTGCAGAAGCTAGCAAGGCTGTTCCCAAGCCAGAACAGCAAGACGGAGGGCTCCATCTCGCTGCTCTAGCTTGGGGACGGCTGCGCGCAAACCTGCTCCAAGGGGAGGGCTGTGCGCAGAACCTCTGCAGGGCAGCGGGGTGCCTTCACACCGATCTCCTGCAGAAGCTAGCAAGGCTGTTCCCAAGCCAGAACAGCAAGACGGAGGGCTCCGTCTCGCTGCTCTAGCTTGGGGACGGCTGCGCGCAAACCTGCTCCAAGGGGAGGGCTGCGCGCAAACCTCTGCAGGGCAGCGGGGTGCCTTCACCCCGCTGTCCTGCAGAAGCTAGCAAGGCTGTTCCCAAGCCAGAACAGCAAGACGGAGGGCTCCTTCTCGCTGCTCTAGCTAGGGGACGGCTGCGCGCAAACCTGCTCCAAGGGGAGGGCTGCGTGCAAACCTCTGCAGGGCAGCGGGGTGCCTTCACCCCGCTGTCCTGCAGAAGCTAGCAAGGCTGTTCCCAAGCCAGAACAGCGAGATGGAGGGCTCCGTCTCGCTGCTCTAGCTTGGGGACGGCTGCGCGCAAACCTCTCCAGGGCAGCGGGGTGCCTTCACCCCGCTGTCCTGCAGAAGCTAGCAAGGCTGTTCCCAAGCCAGAACAGCGAGACGGAGGGCTCCGTCTCGCTGCTCTAGCTTGGGGACGGCTGCGCGCAAACCTGCTCCAAGGGGAGGGCTGCGCGCAAACCTCTGCAGGGCAGCGGGGTGCCTTCACCCCGCTGTCCTGCAGAAGCTAGCAAGGCTGTTCCCAAGCCAGAACAGCAAGACGGAGGGCTCCATCTCGCTGCTCTAGCTTGGGGACAGCTGCGCGCAAACCTGTGCAGGGCAGCGGGGCGCTGCGCTCCAAAGGCTTCAGGGATCTTTGAGGCTGGCGGTGGGGTAAAGCAGCGCTTCCCCCCACCGCCAGCCCCACAAGCTCTGGTGAATGTACCTTGAACACACCTTGCTTTGGAGGGGGAGAACAAGAAAAAAAATCTTTTTCCCTGTTCTCCCCCTCCTATGATCCGGTGCGTCCTATGGTCCGGTGCGTCCAATGGAGCGAAAAATACGGTACTCCTCCTGTCCCTACCAGGAAGAAAAAGCATGGCAGGATATTTTCTTTGCGAGAGATTTGGGACTGCTACGTATGTTGTGATCCTAAATAGTTATAAGAGTTTGGTTACAGAAAGCTGGCTTCAGGGGTAGAGTAGCACAACATAAGAGCACTAATGAAACTTTCCTCCATGTTAAAGGTAGCATCTCAGTAAATTCTACTTCCTTTTAATGCCCCCCCCGCCCCATTTAAATGTCTTAAGTGGAGCCCGACAGCATCTCACCTGAAAGTTAATACAGTAAGCGGTCGATAAGATTTATGGCTGGTATTGCTACTGAGTTTGCTCCCCCAAAAGTCATGATGCCACAGTTCACCAAGTGGGGTTTCTGCCCTGAGGTCCTGAAACAACACAAGTTTATAACATTGTCAAAATCTTAATCTTTCACAGAGGTAAACCAAGAACAGTTCTGCATTAAGTAAACCCAGAGATTTGTCTACTACATTGGCATGCCACATTTCCCCTCAAGGAACTCAAAGCAACTTACAATGTTCCCCGCCTACCCATTCATTTTGCCCTCAAACCAACCCAATGAGGTAGGTAAGGCTAAGAAATGGCGACTGCCACAAGACCATCTACTGAGATTCATTGCTGGAGGGGTGGGGGTTGAACCTGGATTTCCTAGAACCACTCTATCATGCCAGAGATATTATTTTTAAAGAAGTTATTGTCCTTTTGAAGAATATTTACAGTTTAAAGCAGCGTTTCCCAAACTTTGGTCTTCCCACTGTTTTTGGACTACAACTCCCATCATCCCTAGCTAGCAAGGCCAGTGGTCAGAGATGATAGGAATTGTAGTCCGAAAAACAGCTGGAGACCCAAGTTTGGGAAACACTGTTCTAAAGCATAGAGATAAAATGGAAATCGTTCCATTTTATCCTTCTAACCATCATTCTGACTAGTAAACCACAGTAGCATTTAAGCTCTTATGCTCCATGCTTACCATGGAGAAAATGGGTGGGAGGAGTTATTTATTTAAATTTTTTTATAGCACACCATTTCCATCTCAAAAAAGTGGCCAATGTTTTGTATTAAGTTTCTTATAACCCAGCCAACCTATTAAACGGAATTCATAACATTAAGCCAACTTTAATGAGCGGATAGCTGTCTTGAGCATTACAATACATCATATACTGGAAGTTAGCCTACAGTTCTTGATTCAGTGCCATTTTTACTTTGTGCTCTGTCTTGAATATCAGGGCCGTGTGCTGCACAACTCCATATCCTCCATTCTCGTCACCAGCAAACCACGACAGAAAGCACAATGCAAACACTACAGATGGCAAGTAGTGATCAACTGCTATTTGAATACCCTGCTGAGATGCTTTCTTAATTTTCACACAACACTACTAAACTATCATTCTTCATTTTATTTCTGACACATCAAAACTTATAGGTCAGCCCAATTGTGGCACACTCATGAATAAGAAAAATTGATGGGGCACAAGGGAAAAAATCATTATGCACCATCATGATGGAAGGGAGGGCATTTGTTGCCAAGACGGAGGATGAAAATTAGAAACGGAGATGGCTGTTGAGAATGTGCACAATGTTTTCAGGAGTGCATCTGTGCGTGGCTCTTTCTGAGTTCAGATGTGCTAACTCAGCAGATCACAACCCCCCAGCCCACATGCTTGGGGATCTTCCACCTGCACTGATATCCTGGCCATCTGTAGACCAGATGCAGACAAGAGCCAGTGCTGTCTGCTGACTATGGTGTCAGGCATATAGATCTCAGTATCCCAGATATTGTTTTGGATACGAATTTCATTGGGTGGCCTTGGGTAAATGCACCCAGTCACCGCAGCAACACGGTGGCCACTGAAAAACTGCTCCCGTGGTACACATTATACAGAGCCAGTGTGATCACTTTGTTTCTTTCCATGCTAGAATGGCCCCTGTAGACACTGGTGGGAGAAGCAATACAGTGGTACCTTGGGTTACATACGCTTCAGGTTACATACGCTTCAGGTTAAGAACTTTGCTTCAGGATGAGAACAGAAATCATGCTCCGGCAGCACGGCAGCAGCAGGAGGCCCCATTAGTTAAAGTGGTGCTTCAGGTTAAGAATAGTTTCAGGTTAAGTACGGACCTCCAGAACGAATTAAGTACTTAACCCGAGGTACCACTGTACAGGCAACCCCGGGCAATCCAAGATTTCATCCACTACTGTGGTCACGTGAAATCAGACTGCGAGAACAGCAATGCTTGCAGTTCCCTCTGCAGATTTCTATAAAAACTAGATTTCTATTGAACCTTCGTTCACATGCTTGTGAGAATACAATGTCACTCTGTGCTGCTTGGAGGAAGAGTTATAGGGCTAACAATAAATCGACGTTGGGATTTGCTTGGGCTGCCTGAAATTCCACCACCACACTGGGAGACTGCGCATGAGGAAGGAGGCATCATGAACTGGGCAGATGGAAGCACCTGAAACGGCATCACAATTTCAGCTAAGATGCTTTCAGGGTTGGTGGAGCTGGAAAGGCCAGCTGGTGGACAGAGTCCTGCCACCCCTCCAAATTCTGCATTCACTCCAGCAGGCAACAGCCTCCCTGCATTGCTCTCACCTGCAGGACTTGGGAAATGAGAGCAAAGTCCGAGCCTTGGCTCAGGCACCATCAGAACTGCCCCTTGCTGAAGCAAAGAAGCCCAGCACAGGATTTTGCAATTAGCAACAAAATATTTTGCTAGCTGCCTTTGGGTTTCCCCACAAGTCAACAGCTCACAGCTCATTCTAGAGAAAGCATGAGATCCTGCCTGTCATCTACCATGCAGCCCGTGCTTCACTAGTCAGTAGCTAGGTAAAGGTAAAGGTAAAGGGACCCCTGACCATTAGGTCCAGTCGTGGCCAACTCTGGGGTTGCAGCGCTCATCTTGCTTTAATGGCCGAGGGAGCCGGCGTACAGCTTCTGGGTCATGTGGCCAGCATGACTAAGCCGCTTCTGGAGAACCAGAGCAGCGCACGGAAACACCGTTTACCTTCCCGCCGGAGCGGTACCTATTTATCTACTTGCACTTTGACGTGCTTTCGAACTGCTAGGTTGGCAGGAGCAGGGACCGAGCAACGGGAGCTCACCCTGTCGCGGGGATTCGAACTGCCAACCTTCTGATCGGCAAGTCCTAGGCTCTGTGGTTTAACCCACGGCGCCACCCGCGTCCCTAGTCAGTAGCTACCATGGGGTAATTAGGTATCCATCATTTGTTGTGCCCGAGAGTCACCCTCACAGTAGGAAGTGGACACACAAAAATTCCCCACTACAAATCCATTGCAAATCTTATACCTTAGATCAGAGATGGGGAACCTATGGCCCTCCAGATGTTGTTGAGCTACAGTTCACATCATCCTTGGCCCCTGGCCATGCTGCCCTGGGCTGATGGGCATGGAGTCCAACCACATCCATCTGGAAGGTCACAAGTTCCCCATCCCTGACTTAAATATTACAAAGAAAAACAGTGAAATAAATTTATTGGGGGCCACACTTCCTATATTTCACAAAGCCTGGGACTGAGTAGTTATACAGCTTGATCCTATGAATATTTGCTCAAAAGAACGTCCCACTCTGTTCAACAGGGTTTCTTGAGAGGTAAATGTACACAGCATTGTAGATTTAAGGGTTCTTTCTTCCCACCAAATTCCTCTGCAAGAGTAGGAGTAAATCAATATATTTGTTCTCCCTAATAGAAATTTTAGCCATGATGGAAAACTGCAGGCAGCCTCATTACATTCACAAAACAGAATGCAAATAATAAAAAAAATTTCATACACGGTGCCTCAAGTATTATAACAGAGAAATAATTTGCACAGCTTAGATCCACAGCCTTTAAAAAAAAACTTCAGCAAATAAAAAATAAAGCAAAGCAAACAGAAGGTTCAAAAACACTTGGAAATTAAATTCTAGCCTCTTGGCAGCTAGCACTGCATCTTTTATTTGTTTAAATAACTCAGCAATTCTATGATTCTATGAAATGGAGGAAGGATTTGCCCTGGACAAATGAGCCAATGACCACCTAGGCTAATAACACTCCACTGAGCTGAACAGATGTCAATGGAGCTAAGTCAGCAAATGCAGTCCCCAAATCAGCCTATTTGAATCCACCCTCTTTACACAGTACCTAAATAAGAGCCAACTCTCCCGATGTCCTGTATTACCTTAAAAGACCGACAACATTCATTGTAGTGTAAGCATTCATGGGCTGAAGCCCACTCCTGACAGCACAATACTATGTGTGTTTATTCCAAAGTAAGTCCCACTGTATACAAGGAGGCTTACACCCTAGTAAGTGTGTTTAGGATGCAGTCTGAGGGGACAAAGCCTGCTCTGGTGGTAGGAGGAGGCCCCAGGGCAGCACATCTCAGAAACAGGCATTCTAGAGCAGCAGGAGGGTAGGTGCAAAGATGGATGCAGGAGATGGCCATGAAAATGGGGTGTACTTCCCTGCAGCCTGTGCATGACCACAACAGCTGTACTGGGAGGCTGGGAGAGACGCTTTGCCGCTTAGCCCAAGCACTAGCAGAAGGAAGAGGAGGTAGGAAAGCAGGTTTTAAAAGTAGAACACTCTGCAGCACACGTGACAGCCCAGACCATTGTTCACCCTTGCAAGCCAACCCCACGACATGGAACTATATGCTGCTTGCTTGTTTGGCACAGGATAAAAGTGGGTGGGAGGCTGTGGGAAAGATGTCTAGGGCTTGCCTACATCTCTTAGTTGCTGTGTCTGTAATACATTTGCTGAATCCTTCTTCTTATTGTTGCAGTGGAGCTGGATTTTACATGGGGGGGGGGGAACGACACACAAGAAAACAAGCCCAGCCACCATTTGTGGACTGTAGCTGCCACTGTACTTGCTTCTGGGTGGGTATGCCCCAGATCAGATTGTTAGAAGCCTTTGCAGTGATGTAGTAAATTGGCATATGGTCCACTGTGAACCACCGAGATGACAGCTTCATCACCTCCTCATTCAATCTGGGCTGACAATTTTTTATATATAATCACAACAGTTGGAACATATGCCCTGGGAACAGTTGTGTGAATCAGCCCTAACTAAAAGCAAACAAGTCACAACAGCCTTCGCAGGAGGCTAGGAATATGAGGGAAGCGTCTTTTGAAAAATAGACTTTTATTATAGGGCTGTAGTAAGGAAAGGGGGAGGCGGGGAGAAAATATTGATTCCGCTTCCCTCTCAAATCTAAGCAGCATACATTGATTTGAAAAGTCAGGTGCATTCTCCTCTGGCAGCTCTGAAAACATTTGATTTTAAATAGCCCTCTTTGCTTCGCTGGGTGTCACATTTTATGCAAGAACCATTGTTCTAATGAATGCTTGTAACGGAGATGCATTCCGCCTCAAATGCTTTACTGGTTCAAATGTTTACCTTCCTATACACACAGAAGGCAGATTGCTGCAGTACACAGGTTTTCTTTCATTTCTTTTTTCTTTTTGCAAAGCACAGAGCTGCTTACAATGGCAAGAAAGCATCTGGAGAAGATTCTTGAACACCAGCAAAATCCAATAACAGACTGCTCCATGCCAGGGTAGGCATGGGGCCAACTGGAAGAGGATCTTTCATTGGAACCATAAAGGGGAGAAAAGAGCACAGGAAGTTCACAAAAGTATCACAGTGTGGTATCCAATGCTGGCTTAGCCGTAATCGATAGATCTACAAAATGGTTTTAGCTGTTGGAGCTCCCAGCGAAAGCGAATCAAATATGTTACAATGTTGAATAAAGTGAACATTTGTTCTACCTCAGCTCCTTCCCTTGCAAGCTGGCAGCCAACCAATCCTACGTTTTCCACAAAAGAAGTTGCTCTAATATGGGTGAGAGAAATGCTGTTTAGTTTAAAGAGGAATGTGAAGACCCAGAGTCTTCTTCCGTGCAAAAGGTAAAGGTAAAGGGACCCCTGACCATTAGGTCCAGTCATGACCGACTCTGGGGTTGCAGCGCTCATCTCGCTTTATTGGCCGAGGGAGCCGGCATACAGCTTCCGGGTCATGTGGCCAGCAGGACTAAGCCGCTTCTGGTGAACCAGAGCAGCACACGGAAACGCCGTTTACCTTCCCGCCGGAGCGGTACCTATTTATCTACTTGCACTTTGACGTGCTTTTGAACTGCTAGGTTGGCAGGAGCAGGGACCGAGCAACAGGAGCTCACCCCATCGCGGGGATTCGAACCGCCGACCTTCTGATCGGCAAGTCCTAGGCTCTGTGGTTTAACCCACGGCACCACCCGTGTCCCTCCTTCTTCCGTGTAGCGCCACTGAAATTAGTCATGTCCATTAATTTCTACGGATGTGCTCTGAGTAAGGCTAGCATTTGCTAAAGCCCATCTCTCTATATATGATAAAAATGTAAGAATGTCATCATGCAGCCCCCACTGCAGAACTTCCACTGCCACATCACAATCCTGGGTTTGCATGATAGCTGCATGCAACCTTCAGGTTTAGAGGCCACTTGTACAGGTTGCTAAGGAGCAAAAACATGTTGCCTTCATGTTCTGCTTATAGTCTTCCCAGAAACAGGATGATGGGACAGAACCTTGGTCTGATCCAGCAGGGCTTTTCTTATGTCCCTTATAATAGTTTAGCTTTCAATTTATTAACCACCAAGGTGTTTTGGAGGTGGTAGTAGTTAAGCAAAAAATATTATGAAATACTAAAACGAGTATCCTGTGCTGCTATGGAATGTTATTCAAATGGACTACATTTAACAGTGAGGAAGGGGTGTGGCTCAGTGTTAGTGCATAAACTTTGCTTTCAAAAGGTTCTAGGCTCAATCCTGCACAACTCCAAACTGCTTTGTACCAGGTCAGCTGGTCTGACCTGGTACAAAGCAGATTTCTGTCATCTTTCCTTTTGAAAAGGCAATGATTGCTTGTTCTCCCCCCCCCCTCAAAAGCATTCTGGGTAATTAGAAGTGCATTAAGAAGATTGTTAGCTGATTTTCCCTCTCAGTCCCACCCCCAGCTTCGAGAATATAATTGAGTTACTCAGGTAACTGCTAAAAGAAGATTAAGTGAAGTGACAGTGCATGTCAACCTCAAGACTGCTCTATATCCAAACTGCACATTTACCATTGCATGTACATGAAGCAGGATGTCTAGCCAATAAGGTACATCTATGAAATATCTTTCTGGCGAGCTCTGAAACTCTACAAGCAGAGACTCAAACCTCTACAAATTTGTTGGGTTCAACTCCAGCTCAGGGCTATCACTTTTTCTTTCTTTTCCCTTCTTTAGATAAGAATGTGATGAACAAAATTATTCCTCTCATTTCAAAGAGTTTTCTCTTTGTTCAGAAAGTTTGGTTTTTCTTTTTTGTTAAAAAGTCCCCCCCCCCCAAAAAACCCCCATCATATCAATAAGCTTTCCTTGCTAGTGGTCAGATTTTACTCATAAATATAAATTGGGACTAAATACAGAGTTATATTTTCAGGACTTGGTACTCTGTTACCATCATGGCTAGTATTTCAAAAAGAATGCTAATTTTGGGAATGCATTTTGTGAATATTCCTTGCCCTTTAGAGCGACAGTGTTCAGTTAATTAATGAGTTAAATTAACTGAATAAAAATGTTTTGATCAACTAAAGAGGTGACCCAGCACTGGTTTATTTATTCACTTAAGGAGATTATTTTAATAGTTAGAATGTGGAAAAATCTGTGTGTAGCTGTGCCATATTTGAAAAGGCATCCCACTTCACCCTCACACATAAGGGAATGCCTATATACATAAGCTGAGAACTAACAGCCTGGATTGCACATCACATTAAACCACAGATTAAAATAAACTATTGTTTAACGTGATCAAGCAGAATGTTGGTGGATGATGCTCAAAAGTTCCCGCAGTGCTTTTCCTCCTCGCCCTCCTGCTGCTGTTGCATTGTGGATGAAGCAAGTCAGATTCTGGTTTGTCATGCTGTTGAAACCCAAGTGCGCGGTTTGTTTCCCCCAAACAAACCACAAGCAGGGACCAAGGTTTGCTCTTGGCTTACCACCTGTCACTTGTTTTTGGGGAAAGAAACCGCACCAGCTCAGATTCATACATGACAAGCCAGACTCTGGCTTGTATTGTCTGTGGCTCAGTAGCAGCAAGGACTCAGGCAACAGTGCCATGAGAACTTCTGAACAGTGTGAAGCAACACGCTCCTCCTTCCTATTAAAATCTAGTTTGTTTTATAATACAGTTTAATGTGATGTGCAAACTGGGCTAATATATGCTGTTTTTCTTCAGAAGTATTGTTTTATTCATATGCCTTCTGTTCCAATTGTAGCAATTCATTAATCAAGTGACTGGTTAAAATCCACATGATTAGTTAAATGTGACTAAGAGGTCTTTAGTGCAGTGACTGCCCTATAGAAGACCACTGCTCACAGAATGTCCTTTCCTTGCAAATATAAGGTGGAGAACAGCAATTAATCTTTTTTTTCTTCTTTACTAAATTATAGCTAATCAATTAAAGCTTTAAAACAGTGTACAACTTCCTAAGTCCACAAGTCTTAGAAACACACAAAGAGTTGTATTAATTTACCTCACTATGGGTTTTGTAGGAAATACACAAACACACAATTGTCACACTTAAAAAGGTAAAGGGACCCCTGACCATTAGGTCCAGTCGTGACCGACTCTGGGGTTGCAGCGCTCATCTCGCTTTATTGGCCAAGGGAGCCGGCGTACAGCTTCCGGGTCATGTGGCCAGCATGACTAAGCCACTTCTGACAAACCAGAGCAGTGCACGGAAACGCCGTTTACCTTCCCACCAGAGCGGTACCTATTTATCTACTTGCACTTTGACGTGCTTTCGAACTGCTAGGTGGGCAGGAGCAGGGACCAAACAACGGGAGCTCACACTGTCGCGGGGATTCGAACCGCTGACCTTCTGATCAGCAAGCCCAAGGCTCTGTGGTTTAACCCACAGCGCCACCCGCGTCCCACTTACCTGGGTGTTAAGTCTCGTTTAACTCAATGGGCCTTATTTCTGAGTAGACATGCACAGGGTAAAGCTTTAACATGGGTTGCGGACACAAGGGAGTCTGAAGTGGATTTGATGCATCCCATATGTGCATGATTTATATATCGTTCATGCGATGTTGTCCTCATCCAATTAAATTTGAATTTCCCCACTCTGCAGATAATGCAGATGTACTGAAGTGCAATGTGTGGGTGAGGTTTTTTCACATGCATGGTGAAGTTTTTCTGGGTGCATCTATCCTATTGCCATTGGGGGAACGTATCTCAGTGGGTTGCTGGTGGGTCAAGGTGTCACAGATGGGATTTTTTTGGTTTTGAACTTGCTGTTTTGTGCAAGTCTGATAATTCAAGTGTTTTTTTTAAAAAGGATAACATGTGCACAAATAAACAAATACCTGTGCACATGCCCAAAATGGACCTCAGATTTCTGGGACATGGGGAAGGCTGGGAAGTGCAAATTGAACGAAAGGCACAAGCAACACCCAGGGCTAACGCTTCCCATTAAGCTCCAACCACCTGTGTGTATGGGAAACTCTGAGATACTGTTCAATTGAAAATGCTCGCGTGCAAAATCTACAAAAGTGGACGGGGAGGAAAAATCAGATCTGTGTGACCTATGTGTGCCTCAACACTCTGCTGTGTGCACAGTCACAATATATATTATTTGGTCCACAGAGATTACTATTCCACAAAGAGTTTTACTAACCTACCTCCCCATGTGTTTTGTGGCCAAAACAACAACAAACGTTCCTGTAATCCCTAGAAGTTAGGGCTGCCAAGCATTTTTTTAAAAGCTGATTAACTAAATCAGTTTTAATTGACCACACCTGCATAAATCACAAGAAAAAGCATACTTCTTGGCTTTTTTGGACTGTGCATGTATACATATCACAGCAGGGGAGACAGCTTTTTGAGGCTGGTGCTTGCCACCTGCGGGTAGCAACCCTAGTAAAACTTTCCCTACCTCTTTGCTGCAGGAGATTCTTACTCAAGACAGATTGTTAGGCGAATGGCTATTTACAAGCCCTGATCTTGTAAGGCCCACAACTGGTAAAACACCAACCTTATTATTGATTATAGCTTCGGAGTCATCAAAGACAAAGTCCCCATTGTAGCTGTTTGCAAAGCAGATGAAGGAAAGGAGTCCCACAACACTTTTGGCCCAGTGTGCTGGAAGGGGCAGTAGTGGTATGTCATGGTCCAGGTTACTGTCTGCCTGTGCCATTCTGTACGATACTTGTCCAAAATTTGGAGTGCCAACATTATGCTGGTTGCAAATCTGAAAGAAATAGAATGTATATATTTATAAACAGCTAGCTCAGCCTTTTTACAAAAAAACACCTGCACCGTTTGTAGCCTGCCTACACCTAGGGGTGGGTGTTATTTATGGTGAACTAGTAGTCTGGGGAGGAGGGGGAGAAGAAGCAAACTTTCTTTCAGCATTCAAAGCAGCCATTCCTAAGCTGGTGCCCTACAGATGTTTGGAACTACAACTTTCAGCCAGGATTGTCAATGCTCAGGGTTAATGGGAACAGGGACTCTCAAGCCCCATCCCCAGGAGGAACCAGGTTGGGAAAAGCTGACCCCAAGGCTTCCCTGCTGGCTACAGATGTGTGGTTTTTATATCATTGCTTGGCAGGACCATGCCGTTAAATGCATTCTGTGGTTATGTTACCACTTGGCAAATGACTGCTCATATCCACTCAGGTTATGGAATATCTGGATCCAAAAGGCATGCTGGAAATTAGTCTATTTATTCTAGAGTGGATTTGGAGTGGATTTGGAAGTACAGTGGTGCCCCGCAAGACGAATGCCTCGCAAGACAAAAAACTCGCTAGACGAAAAAGTTTTCCGTTTTTTGAGTCGTTCCGCAAGACGAATTTCCCTATGGGCTTGCTTCGCAAGACGAAACGTCTTGCGAGTTCTTGCGAGTTTGTTTCCTTTTTCTTAAAGCCGCTAAGCCGTTAATAGCCGCTAATAGCCGTGCTTCTCAAGACGAAAAAACCGCAAGACGAAGAGACTCGCGGAATGGATTAATTTCGTCTTGCGAGGCACCACTGTATGGGTCTACCCACCCCTAATTAAGACGACGAGCAAAGCAAAACTAAATATGTTCAAAGCACTTCCACATGGTTTTCAGGCAGCATCTTCCAATGGCAGCATCCAGAAACTGTTACCCACAAGATACCTGTGCATATCATGTCCAGTCTCCTGCAATGTCAAGTTCATTGAGAAATGGGTGTGCCAAAGCCGTTGAGAGTGGGGAAGCCCACAGTGCAAGAAGCTATTGTTACGTTAGGATTTCTACATCTTACAGTTATAACAGATAACAAGCAGAAAATCACTTGGACTTGTGCTTTCTCAACACGGGACAAGTGGAAGACTAGAAGAGCCTTTAGCCTGACTGCAGAATATTTTCTAAGGTTCACCTTCCTTCCTGTATCTCCATTACCCTCTGGCCTAGCATCTCCAAAACCAACAAGTTTAACCAGATCTATCCCCCCCCCAACTTTGAAATTTTAGGGTGCAGAATTTAGACCCTCTATCCTCACCTCCCTGTTTATCATACTACATAAGTGGTTTGTTTTCCTCTTCTTTTTTACCTTTGAAGTCATTATGCACCATAATGTGGTGTTGTTTTTCATATTTTGTTTTCCAGCATGGAAATTTTTTTTATGTTGCTCACTACTGGACTTGCAAAAGATGCCCACTAAAAACAAAGTGCTTGCTGGAAAGACCAACTGGACCTACTTGTTGTGCGCAGCTATTAATGCAGTCCAGAACTGAGCCCTTGTTACTATAGCAATGTCCCCTACAGAAGTACCTATAAAAAATACATGAAGTGGCATACAATAGCTAACAGCAACCTTCCTCCCAGTATGCTAATATTCCAATTCCCTGGGCTTTTAAACCAACCTATTGGCCCCAAAAATAAATAGCTAGATGTGTTGTGGGAAAGGGGAGGCTGTTAAAACAGAATTGTAGTTCTTTTAAAGGAAGAAAGAAAGCAGTTTCCAACATTGCTATAATGGACCTGGTTGCAGAAGTTGTTTTTAGTGCCACCACTGGCACTAAATGAGTATAATCTCTTCTGAAAACAAGGGTGAGAAACCTATTTATACATAAGTATATAGTGCATCTTGCCCTCTTTCCTTGCTGAGTTCTGAAGGTCTCCAGAGTGGAACACACACACCATCAGTGTGGTAAATTTGTTGGAACAAATTATGACACTGTGCCCAACACAGGTGTGCAATCCTATGGCTGCTGTTTCCTCAGAAGCAAGTCCTACCAAATTCTATGTGACTTATTCCCAAGTAAGCATACACAGGGTTGCATGCTTCAGCCTGTCTGCTGGTTTCTGTTGTCTTTGTTCTGTAGCTCTTGCAGGGCATGGGGTAATGCGTGCCACTTTCTGGCATGTCATCAAAAACTCTAAAACGATCATGTAAATGTTCTCTCCTCCCCCTTCCACAATTTGGGAAGAAAGATGGAAGACCCACAGTAAAGACTCTGTCAATCAGAAGTTTCCACTTAAATGGCAGAGTTTCAAAATAATAATAATCCACAACTAGGCTGAACAGCAGACCTTAATAAACACAGGCCATTCTTTAAAATAAAAACCCATTGAACTTGTGCTTTCCCCAAGGAAGAATCCAAACTCGTGTGATTAAAAAAGAGCCAAGCACTGTGACTGCAGACAAAAGACGAGGTGAAGATCCCAGTTCCCCCTCTGGATCTGTTATCGAAAGTGGTTCAGCACAGTGTTGCGAAGAACATCATTGTCTAATAGCAATCTTGTGGAAAGGAAACGTGCAGCTGATCCGATACGCGCCTACTCAGAAGCCAGTCCCGCTAAGTTTAATAGGGCTGCTTTTCCTCGCAAGATGTTTTAAGGACTGCATTTCCCCAAACCCACAGTGTAGCAAAGGCAGGTAACGCGCTCCTCGGAACCGAGATGGGGCTGGAACGACCCCAGAGGATCGGGGTCGTGGCGGGGGGGGGGGGAGAGGTGAGGCGGGGAGGCGATCCTAACAACTCTAGCAAGAGAGAAAGAAAAGAGCGAGGGAGTTGTGGTTGTTATGAGGAAGTGCCTGAAAAAGTGACCTTGGTGGGATCCGTCCCTCGCCAGAGAGCCACCTTTTGTTTGCGTCTCGTGTGCTTCCTTTTGTCTTGGGAGTGCGCTCTGGAGGTGGGTGCGGAACCGGGCGCTTCCCCTGCCGCATAGAGCGCCCAGGGGCGCTTCCCACGGAGGGACCCCTTCCCATCTGCCGCCAGCCCTTGCGCCCTCCTCGGGGCCCCTCCAGACCCAGACACGCGCGCATGCTCCCCGCCCCGCCCTGGCTTTACCTGCAGCTAGAAGGAGCCCGAGCGGCATCTCCCACCCGAGCGCGCAACTCTGATCCGCGCTCTCCTGCTGAAGCCGCGGGGCCGCGGGATGGGCCGGGCCGGGGGAGGAGCCGCCGTGCCTCTCCGCTCCCGAAAGATCCCTCCGAGCCCATTGGCTCTCCGGACTTCCTCCTCCTCCCAGCCCCGCTGTAGTAGCAGCACTCGCTCATTGGCGAGGCGAGGTTGACGTCTGCAAGGCGGAGCGCAGCCAGCACCGGGGTGGGGCGCAGGGGAGGCGAAGCGAAGGGTAGCGGAGCCCGAGCGTGGGAATCTTGCTTGCCCGAGGTCTGAACTGGAGGTGTGAGGGCGACGGTGGAGATGTCCACGCAGGCACTGAATATGGAACTGTCCTTCCCGCGCGCTGTGCAAATCTATAGTGCGTTTTTGGAGTGCTGCGTACAGAGTTCTGGGCGCCTCGCGTCAAAAAGGATATTGAAGAGTTGGGAAAGCGATCAAGGTGGATGGAACGACTCCCCGATGAAGAAAGGTTGCAGCATTTGGGGGGGAAAGGCGAGGAAGTGGCGGCATGTTACAAGTTTATAAAATTATGCACTGCGTGGAGTAAGCAGCTAAAGAAAAATGTTTCTTCCTCTCTCATTTGTTGTTTAGTCGTTTAGTCGTGGCTGACTCTTTGTGACCCCATGGACCAGAGCACGCCAGGCACTCCTGTCTTCCACTGCCTCCCGCAGTTTGGTCAAACTCCTGCTGGTAGCTTCAAGAACACTGTCCAACCATCTCGTCCTCTGTCGTCCCCTTCTCCTTGTGCCTTCCATCTTTCCCAACATCAGGGTCTTTTCCAGGCAGTCTTCTCTTCTCATGAGGTGGCCAGAGTCTCAGCTTCAGGATCTGTCCTTCCAGTGAGCACTCAGGGCTGATTTCCTTAAGAATGGAGAGGTTTGATCTTCTTGCAGTCCATGGGACTCTCAAGAGTCTCCTCCAGCACCATAATTCAAAAGCATCAATTCTTTGGCTATCAGCCTTCTTTATGGTCCAGCTCTCACTTCCATACATTACTACTGGGAAAACCATAGCACTATAGAAATCATGGGAAATCGGACGAAGCTGGGTGTTGGAAGGTTTAGGACACATTTAATGTGCAGCACATAGTCAAAACTATGCGAACTTGCTCCCTCAGGAGGGGGTGATAGCAACAAGCTTGGATGGCTTTAGAGGACGATTGGACAAAATCATGGAGGAGAGAGCTAACAGGGTCTACTAGCCATGTCGACTGTGCTCTGCCTCCACAGCTGGAGGCAGCAGTGCTTCTGAACAGCAGATGTTTGAACCATAGGAGGGGAGAGAGTGTTCTTGTGCTCATGTTTTGTACCCTGCTTTTGGCCCCAGGCATGCGGTTGACCACTGCGAGAACATGATGCTGGACTAAGCAGGCCATTGGCCTGATCCAGCAGGCTACTCTTAGGTTCTTATGTTCTTAGAAAATATTTCTGGGTTGCAGAAAGGCACAGTCTTTGCAACCCTATTTACAAGGGGCAGGGGCACATGTATTTATTTAATAAAATTTATATAGCGCTTGATTGTAGAAGAAAACCTCACTGCAGTTTCCAAAAAGATAAAACAACAGAGTAATCGCTTAAAAACAAAACCTACAGCCATAATTTATGGCCCACATAAATCTTTTTCTGTGGCTTCAGATTCCAGGATCAGTAGGATTTCTGGTAGTATTTCTATCTATTTTCTTCTGGCAAGGGGCCCTGTGAGCCCCCTGAGGGAGTGCTGGTGACTGTATGCCAAGCCTAAGTCGTAATCAGAACTTACAAAGAGTCCTGTAGCACCCTGAAGGACAACCCATTTATTAGGGTATAAACTTTAGTGGACTATACCTCATTTTATCCAGTAACGTGAACTGTTATCTTAAGTCTGCAGATATATATATGGGGAAGGTGTGAGATGTAAAACCATGAGATGAGAAGGAAAGGAAATGCAAATATATATTCATACATCTAAAATCAGAATTTTCTTCTGACTGAACATGGCATGCCAATGCTGGGAAAGAGCTGCAGACACAGCGGCCTGCCATGAAAAAAAGGTGACGACTGTTCCTACTACCTCTAGGTAAAGGTAAAGGGACCCCTGACCGCAAGGTCCAGTCATGGAGACTCTGGGGTTGCGGCGCTCATCCCGCTTTACTGGTTGAGGGAGCCGGCATACAGCTTCCGGGTCATGTGGCCAGCATGACTAAGCCACTTCTGGCGAACCAGAGCAGCGCACAGAAACGTCGTTTACCTTCCCGCTGGAGCGGTACCTATTTATCTACTTTCGAACTGCTAGGTTGGCAGGAGCAGGGACCAAGCAATGGGAGCTCATCTCATCGTGGGGATTTGAACCGCCAACCTTCTGATCAGCAAGCCCTAGGCTCAGTGGTTTAGACCACAGCTATGGTTTAGACCACACTACCTCTATGTTACCACAATTTAGAAGCTGTGCATTCCCCATCACTTTAAATGTTGGGGAGAAAAGGAAGATTATTGCTATTGCTATTCTTTAACCCAGCTTTGAGACAAGAAAGTGGTTAAGAGTCATTCAAATCCAGCTGACCTTAAAGATGGGCTGAGGCATGGAGAGCCCAAATCACTTTTTTAAAAAGTAATAATAATAATATGAAAGAGCTGTGGTTACTTTCTGTTATGCTTCACTGATTTTTTTCCTCCAGAGAGCAGCAGTTTCTTATTTCCAGTTCCAATTCAATGCAAGGGTGCAAACACAATCTGAATAACAGACAAGTGTTTGAAGAGCTCTGCACCACAAAATATGCTTTGGTCACCACCCCATATTGGAGGTCCATACCGCAAGGAGACTACAGCCTGAAGCTTTATTTGGCACAGAGTGCTCTCAAACATTTGCTTCCTTGGGTAACTCACCTGTGAGTTATTTATTTAGTATGCACACACATTATTTTCAGAGTATGGCATAACTGCTCAAAAGCAACACTGAATGGATTTACTTTTAACAAATAAATGAATGTAAAATTCAAGATCTATTCATTCATTCTGGCAAACTGGAAGAAGTCATTAAATTTTAGACAGTATGATCCTCTATTATTACATCCTAATCTGCATGGCGCTTTCCCTATGCTCTTTTAATCACAGGTCAAATATGTAAGAAAACACCTGCTTTTAAAAACCTAACCCAAACAGATTAAGGTAACTAGGGAACCAACCCAAAGCAGTAATGCTTTCTTCTTCTTCTAGAATACAATTAGCTTCCTAACTTTGCAACATAGGGGTTAATAACTGTGTTCTGATTTCAGTTAAAATATCCTTTCAGTGGCCATTCATTTTGCATTGCAGTCTCCATACTGCTGTCATTAAGACCAATGATCCAGATATAGCAGGGTATTCACGACATATTAACCAGTAGCCTTCATAGCTGTGTTAAAAATGAAATACGGTAAAGTTACTACAGTGCGGTATAATATCTTTATTTGAAGTGGAACTATTGCTTTCCCTAACTCTTCTGCCATTAGCTCTCTGGTCTATAGAACAGCAACCCTGAGAAGTTTATGGGAAATAGAGATAATGGGTTTGTAGGCTGATATTCAACAAAGTTTTACTCTTAAGTAGCTGCCCAGAGTGGCTGGGGCAACCTAGTCAGATGGGTGGAGTACAAATCATAAATTATTATTATTATTACTCAGAGTAGACTCATTGAAATAAATGTAGCCCCAATTTAGGCATGTTCATTAACTGCAATGGGTCTACTCTGTGTAAAACCTAATTGAGTACCACTTGTAGTGTTTGGTTAATCTCTAGTCCTGCAAACTAAACAGTCTGAACTCTTCCCTTCCCCCCAGTTAACCTCAATGCTCTTTCCAGAAAGAAAATTTATTCATGTATAACAATGGATCATTGTTGTAAATCACACATTTAAGCATAAATTAACTTACCTGAACTTGAGTAGTTGTAACCATCTATGGTTGCCATCAAAAAACTCTTTCTTATGTGGGATTGTATTCTATCAGACAAAACGGGGGTGGGAGAGACTGATTAGAAGATTTAGTGAAATATGGAACACTGGAATCATTTTTCAAAAATGTAGGTTTTCTTCCGAACTTGCATCCAGCAATAAATAAGATATTTATCAGAGATAAGAACTGGGGAATGGATTCAACTTGCATTAGATACAGCTACAAGTCTCCTACCATCTTCAGTGGGGGCTGGACAAAAGTCCCAAGATGCCCAGTGTATAAAATATATTCCAACACATTCTACATCTCTCAAACATTATTTTGGAAATGTTTCCTGTGAAGACTAAAAGCATATTTAAGGGTAATAAAACTGCCATAGTATGTTACTTTTATTCCATTAGTCTCTCTGAAGATGTGGTTTTAAGACTGCTCTGTTTTAATACATAAGATAGATGGAAATGTGAGCTCAGAAGAGCAGAGCAAATGATATTCCACCAAGTGTTTAGTGCATATGGAGCAAGAGAAGGCAAGTTGACCCCCTGCTCAGGAGGCCATGGCTGTTGGGTGGGTGGTCTGTATATTTTATGAAGGGCAGGGAAAGCAATCTAGAAGCAAGTAGGAGATGCTACCACAAGAAACTTACCCTTACTTGGTCCTATAGGCAGACCATGGCTTTTGAGGCCTAAGATCCATGTAGCTCCTCCACACCGGGGATTAGGGACCAGGCCTTGCAACAATTCTGCCATTTCCTTGAAAAAGGGAGACAACTGTAAGGGTGACTTAAGAGAAGCAAGAGGAAAGCAGGGCCCATATAAAAGGATTCTGTTTAGTGATGACAATTAACTGAGGAAACTGTCATCCGTGGCCTACACCCACATTTATTTGTTTGCTTGTTCCTTATTTACTGAATAATTAGGCTCCGTAGTTATCGCTGTCTGGGCACTGCACAAAGAAGAAGAAGAAGAGTCCAAACCACAGCCAACAACCAATATGGAAACTGCATTAGACCCACTACAAAAGGGTACTAAAAAATAAATAAATTTCAAATCACAATGCCAGCCATTAAATAAAAAGAAAGTAGAAAGACATCGGGTGCTATGCAACTAAAGCTATGTACACACTACACCTTTAAAGCACATCCAAAGCGCATTCGTTCCCTCAAATAATCCTTCTTCATTGCCTGTAGGGGGCAGTTATATTTGTTTCCTTCAGACACGGCCTACTGTCTCGCCACCAATTTATCTTGACTAGACGTCTCAGCACCACACACATGGCCTTGTGCTTAGTTCCCCCCTGGAGTAATTTCTCTCAGCAACTTCACAGGCCTCTGTAAACACCACACACACACACACACACAAAAGATTCACTGCCACAGGGAGGAATATCCAGGACCTGGGAGCAGCAAATATTACTTTTCTCCACAAAGATCAGCTCTACTCCCATCTCTCTTGTCAGAATCAATTGTCATCCCCAAAGGCACTAAAATAAATTTGGTGCTTGTACAGGCATTCGCCGGAGGAGAGGAAGGAACACAGTGCTGCTTCCCTTTCCACTTCAGGAGTGTTATCCCTGAACCTGCATTGGCAGATTTGATGGGGAAGGCAAGGGTGGGGGGAAGCAGCCCCCATACATGCTAGCTTGCTGTTCTCCACACCTAGTATTTTTTAAAGTGTTTTTCAGAAATCTAACATGTGGAACAAAGCTTTCCCCTGAAACGCATTCTTGCCTATTGTGTGCACATCCGTGTGTTTTTCCTCCTTTTCCTGTCACTGTAACTTGACAATAGTAGCATGTGCAAATACACGAGGGAAGGGCAAACAAAGCTTTGCTGTAGCAAGAGTAGCCCTCGCAGCAAGCGAAAAATGTGTTCGCTTTAACCGAAACAAACAACATTTCCAGGCAGGTGCTAGCATGTATGTGTCGAATGTCTCAAGTTACAGGCAGGGCAGAGAATTCTTTGTTATTGGCCCTATTTTTATTTATATATTGCATTTCTATCCTGCCTTTTTCTCCAAGGACCTCAAGGTGGCATACATGGTTCTCCCCCTTCTCATTTAATCCCCACAACAACTCTGTGAGGTAGGTTAGGTGGAGAGGCAGTCACTGGCCCAAGGTCACCCAGCGAGCTTCATGGCTGAGTGGTGGTTCGAACCCTTGTCCCCCAGGTCCTAGTCCAACCCTTTAACCAACTGGCTCTCACTAGTATTTACACATGTTTACATACACTGTGCACAAGTAGATGACTCCTATGAGCAAGCAATGCTGAGCTGGCAAGATCTGCACTGGTAAGCTACTGGTCTACTTCAAAAGCATGGGAGCATAAAATTGTTTTTACTTGTTGGTAAGTTCCACTGCCCAGACTTCCTGGGGAAGGGAACTCCAGAATCAGGAGAAAAAGCCTTTCACATGGGTCAGATTCCCAGAAGGGACAACAAGAAGAGTCCCCACCTCCTCTGGGTTAACCACAAGATCGGGGGCAAATTATATTTGACAAGGTGTGTTGCAGAGGTGCCATCTTCTCTGAATGTTGAGGGGCCCTGGATCCCTCAGAAAAAAACATTGGGGGCTGGTGCGAAAGTGCCTTGGCCCCTAGGAGCTGGTGTGTATGGTATGTTGATAAATACCTGAGTCCCAGGCTGTGAAGGGGTTTAGATACCTAAAACCTTAAAGTGGGGCCAGTAGCTTATAGGCAGCCAGGACTAGGGTGGCATCACGCCCTTTTGTATGTATATCCATGTATAGCCGTCTCACCTGTAAGTGCAGAAATCCTCAGTTGTAGACACAGTCTGCAGGAGGCAAGAAGGCACACAAAGAGATGCTGCCTTTTCCTTACTTGAGGAAAAGAGAATGGCAGTAATTAGATGATACAAATCCTACACCGCTAAGTCTACTCCTGTAAAAATATACATTGTGCTGTGTCAGGGGGAGAGACGCATTAATTAAAGCCTGCGAGTGAAACCACCATGACTACCTGAAGAATTTTCAAGTCTGTCCACATAATGTATTTTCGTCCTCAATTTCTCTTCCCGGCTCTTGATTTCCTGTGGTATGCCATAATATGCTTTTGTTGTTTCTGCACCGACAATGCAACACAGCAACATTTCTGGAATTGAATATATAGTGTATTTTCGTCCAAGATTGCAAACCTTCTGATTCCTCATTGTTCTGCTTCACTGATATATCCTTCAGCAATGATAGAACAGAAACATCCCTCAGTTTTCCCCATTTCGCTGAGAAAAACAGGTGTTCTGTTTTCTAAGAAGTGAGCTAGGAACACATTAGGGAACGAGGCAAATAAGTGAGCTTCCATGGGATTTGGACACAGGCCCTTGCAAAGAACTTTGGTGTTAATTTCAAAATAATGAATTTCTATGCAAACAGAACATACCTTTTTGCATTCCAATGTCACACAATACCCAACACACAGTATGGTATTCCCATCCCCCACCCAGTTACTAATATTTCCAGGGCCACCCCAATACCTTTTTCTGTCTGAGGCAAAGGACAAGGCACACACTCAATTCCACATACAGAACTTGATTAGGCTGTCAGTTGAATCTTATTACAACACCAAAAATGAGACAGCAACCTCTGATGCACCTGAGGGCAGAAGACTGGTTTACTGGGTGCATGAGATGCACATACAGTCCTGCTGTGGCACACACCGTTCTGTTTCCCAGCAGATGGGAATGGCCAAGGGGCTCAGGAGGAATTGCCTCACTTTGCCTAATGGTAGGGCCGTCCCTGTCTACTTCCGGCTCTTCCAGTTTTGTCTTTTTACTATGCACCCCTATTCTCTGCTCAAGTGCTTACTGTAAAGACCGCTTAAGTCACTGCAAATCCTTTGTTTGCATTCAGTAGGCTCTGTGTTGTTTTTCTGAACAAGGAGTCAAACCCAGGAAGAAAATATTTTGCTAATTTACCATTATGTTTTAAACAATCTCTCTCCCTCTCTTTTTTCCTGTGGGGAGCAGATAAAAGGCTACTTCCGTGAGTAATAAAAACAATTTCAAAATATCTCATAAGCCAGGTTGCTGTTTGCAGCTGCAGCCTGCATTGATGCATTATGCATGATTCGCGACGCTCGGAGGCAGAGAGGAGGGGAGAAACCCACCCTCTGCAGGGTCTTCCATCAGTGAATTCCAGTGCTAGGCGAAGTTCCATCATTTCCTATAATTATGGTAACACAGAGCTGTTTACATATTCAAAATGTGTGTTGTTAATAACGGAACAATGTTCTCGTAATATACACAATTCAAAATTAATTTTAATGCAGCAAGAGAGATTGTTTCCTCCCGCATCTGTTGACAAATAGGTTGCGTGTTATTAAGCAGTAAAGTCACAAGGCATAAATTGCAGACTGTTCGGCGGCCACATTTCTCTAAATAATTTTACAACCTTCTCTCCCCTTTCCATAGGTGATATGAACACTGTGTTTTACTCAGCCTACATGCACTTTTTATGTGCAATATGTTTTCACTCCAATAGGCAGCTCAGATTTTCATATCAAGCTTGAGGAAATGATACAAGGATGCTGGGGTTATAATGTGACATGTCCACCATTCTGACCTTTCCCTTTTCCCCACTGCATGGTGTGGATCTGACCTTACTTGCAAGTTCTGTTGAAGTGACTGGGCTTTGCATCCAAATAAATGTGTTTTGGTCCAACCTACCAATATGCAAAGGGACGCGGGTGGCGCTGTGGGTTAAACTAAGGAGCCTAGGGCTTGCCGATCAGAAGGTCGGCAGTTCGAATCCCCGCGACGGGGTGAGCTCCCGTTGCTCAGTCCCTGCTCCTGCCAACCTAGCAGTTTGAAAGCATGTCAAAGTGCAAGTAGATAAATAGGTACCGCTCTGGCAGGAAGGTAAACGGCGTTTCCGTGCGCTGCTCTGGTTCGCCAGAAGCGGCTTAGTCATGCTGGCCACATGACCCGGAAGCTGTACGCCGGCTCCCTCGGCCAATAAAGCGAGATGAGCGCCGCAACCCCAGAGTTGGCCACGACTGGACCTAATGGTCAGGGGTCCCTTTTCCTTTACCTTTACCAATATGCAATGGAAGCTTTCTTCGCGTTATAAAAGAGCAGATGTGGTAGAGGAATTCCAACTGGGACCATAGATGGAGAAAGGGAAGAAGCTTCCTCCATTGCATGAGACAATCTTGACCCACCTTGCCCCCAACACACTATTTGTTAAAGAAAAATCAACCATGCAAGGGCAAAGTAACAAACATCATGTCTAGTTTGGGCCTTTGTTGGCAAATCACAGATGGCCACATGGTGCTCCTCAGAGGCTGGTGGGAAATCTCTGGCCCATGGGCTGAATGTGGCCCCCTAGGCTTCTCTACCCGGCCCTCAGGGCTGTCCTGAGGCCACAGGTTCTCTCTGGCCCAGCTCTCTATGCCACGCAACCTTGAATTGTGATTCAGAGGGTTGCACATGTGTGCGTGTGTCCATGGAAACTTTGGGCTTTTGTGTGGCTGGAATGCAACCTGCTGTACAAAGCTAAAAGTCACTTCCATTGCTCCTTTCAGCTTTTGTCTCTGATTCAGCACCCCATAAAGGCAAATGAGGTGATGCCCTCAACCAGCTCCCACTTGCCTGCCTTCTAAATGGCAACCAGCCCAGTGGGTGCCCCCGGCTGTCAAATTCCTCCTCCTTAAACTCAGCTTTGCTCTTGTAGAACACAGCAGGGAGGAAGATGGGGGCAAAACTAGAGCGAATGACCTCCCCCTGTCATTGGCTCTGGCTCCACCAACCATTGACTTTCCTGCTTTCTGCCCTTCCAGTCCCAATGTACAGACGCCACCACAGCCCTGGTTCCATCCGTTACTGGCATGTGGCTCCTTGAAGGTTTCCCATAAGGGAATGTGGCCCTCAGGTGGGGGCGGGGAACTTCTCTACACTGTGTCTATGGTAGGGTTATATTTCTGATTGCCAGTAGACTAGTGGCTTTTATGAAATACTGAACTGCGTTGGGATTCTTCTTCCCCTCTTACTCCTGCAGCTCTCTCAATTTGTTTCTGCCCTTTCTTTGCTGTACAGTGGTACCTTGGGTTACATACTCTTCAGGTTACATACGCTTCAGGTTATAGGCTCTGCTAACCCAGAAATATTACCTCAGGTTAAGAACTTTGCTTCAGGATGAGAACAGAAATCGTGCTTCGGCGGCGCAGCAGCAGCGGGAAGCCCCATTAGCTAAAGTGGTGCTTCAGGTTAAGAACAGTTTCAGGTTAAGAACGGACCTCCTGAGCGAATTAAGTACTTAACCCAAGGTACCACTGTATTGTGAATTGCAGTCCTAGAAATGTGTTCTATCTCCTTTTCCATTGTTTCTCCCTTTCCTCTGCTAAATTACCCATCAAAAAGAGCTTAATATCGCTTTTACAACTCATGTCACATACTTCACTGGGCTCATATGTCCTGTAACTGTTTTGCAGTCTTGGAAGCTTTCCAGGAAAATGGACGGAGGTTTGGAGGAGGTCAGGCCAACACAATTTTTCATTTTACTTTTGCTACACTGACTAGATTTGCTGTGCCCTTTACCTTCTCCTGCTCGGCCTCATGTCTGGACCTCAAGCTGTTGTAGAGAGCTGAACTTTTCCAGAAGGTGAAGGCAAGAGCGATCTGATGCTGTTATCACATTGAGGCCCAGGTATGCGCCGTCTCTGGCCTTGCACAGCAGATGCTTGTGATGAGACTGCCAAAAGGATACAATAATACATATGTTGTGTGCATGTGCCACCGGGCATCAGAAAATGAAAGAAAACCAATAGGTTGTCCGCCTCCTCACTTAACAAAGTGACATACAGCGAAGTGAAATATGGGAATGCGCGTCCCAGACCCATACAGGGAACGCAGATATGAAAGTGTCCTCTGAGATATATCAGTATGACAGACTTGGCTGAGACGCATGTAAACGCCTCCACAACAAAAATGTTCTTAGGAAGCAACACCGTGCACTTTATTCGAAACACAAGTAGCCAGTCTTCTTGTCATGTACCATTCAATGGTGAATGGTTGTGACTTCCTGAGTCATTACATAACCTCCAACATTTCTCCAACGAAAATATGGATACCCTATTTAATAGTAGTAGTAATAGTAGTAGTAGTAGTAGTAGTAGTAGTAATAATAATAATAATAATATACTATTTATACCCTACCCATCTGAATGGGTTGCCCCAGTCACTCTGGGTGGCTTCCAACATATATAAAAACATAATAAAACGCTAAACAGAAACCTTCCCTATGGCCTTCAGATGGTTTGGGGGTCTTTACCCTCCAGCAGTTCTCCAATGAAAATAGGGACATCCTGGTGGTTTCCAAAAGAGCTCAGGCAGAGGGGCTAGTAAGTACAAGTTCTGCTACTCGGCTTTTTCCAAAGGTGTCTCCAAGCAGCGGCTATCACTCCTGTTCTTGTTCTCCTCCAGTAGACTTACACCTGACACCTGGCAAATCTGTACCCAGCTGAAACCAGAAGTGACTGTGGAAACATACTTTTGGACATAGAGCCAATGTCTCACGAAAACAATGCCACCACACACAAAGCCCCTCTCTAAACGGCTGCCGGTTGGTTGGAAGAAGCACTCAGGCCAGATGCTATGCAGAGCAGCAAGGGACACCCTGCTATGAGTCTTGGCTGCGCTCACCAAAAGTTGATCTAAATTTAAAATGGCTTAAAATGCTTTAATCTTTGTGGGCTGCTGTAATGAGCAACCATTTCATTGGCAGAGACAACGGGGAGAGGAAAATGGCTTTAGTTTTCCTCCATTACGTTTTTAGTACCGCAAACACTTTGTGTTCACCTTTTGATGTGCAATGTAGCAAGAGGGATCGTTTCCGCCCCATTATCCTACGCACTGAGGGCTGGCGGCAACACCTTTGCATCCCGTTGCAACTATCACTCGGATTGCTTCCTTGTGATCAAATTTGGGCATTAAAATCACTTGCTTTGGAAGTGCCTGCTAGATAAATGCCTTCCACTGGGTTAGTTGGCAGTACTTAGGATTTATTTTCTCTCAGTCGTTATTGATTTCCTGCCATATTCATCTTCTAGTGTGCTGGAAACAGGACCAGACCACAAAGCCTTTGTAGAAAAGAAGCACTGATTCTCATGACACACAGACGCCATCTTTTACTGGGTAGAGTGGGTCGGATTCTGGTGACTGATTTCCATGAGGCAAACTCACACCATCACCTTGATGAGAAACCTCAATGAGTTGCCATTTTCTAATGGGAACTCACATTAAGACTGTGGTTGATCATCAGGGCTCTGTGTATTGCAAGTGAAAAACTTCGATTCTGTGCTGAATTATGCAAGATCATAAATTATGCAAATCAAACCTACTTTGCTTAAATTATTCTACTTCAGATGGGGGCAGGAGAAGGAACTAGGGCACAGAAACGACACCCCTTAAGTGCTAGAACCCAGGTGCCCCTTTGCCTTGTGGCATTGCATTCTGACTCTCGTATTTATCCTGGCAGCCTTAAGGACTAGAAACCTGCTGATTATATTCGAACAGAAGAAACTCTGCTGAGAACCTAGCTGCCTTTGGCTGTTCATTTTCATCACCTCTCACCTAGCAGCAGCTATTCCATTCAGGGCTGAACCATTCATTTGGCAGAGTGAGGTGAGTTCTCCACATTTCCACATCAACTTGTATTTTATTTTTATTTTTTTTAAAAAAGTCCTCATGAAAATTCATCATAATTTTAGCATGAATTTCTCCTGATATGTACATTTCTGTATGCAAATGTACCTATTATACACATTTTTGCAAAGCAATTTCACCCAGTAGAACACAATATATTATGGATATATGCATTTTAATGCATGCTTTCCCCATGCATATGCATGTTTGCATATATCATTTGGCTGGCAAAATGAATTTCTAAATTTGGAGAGGTTTGAAATTGTGAAGAATGGCTGTGTTTTCACTCTGAAAAGTGCAAGTTGGGTAAGTCCACCTTTAAACTGAATCAAATTTCTCCCTCACCCTTAGATTTACATACACATACATATGCCCCATTCTCCTCATTAGGAAGCTTTTAAAAAGATTTAATAAAAATCTTTTTTTAAAAAAATAAATCTCAATTTTCAGCAATTTTAAAGTCTACACATTCAACAGCAACAAACAATAAATAAACATACATCACTTCATTCGAGAACTCAAAAGACGAGGTTCATTAATAAAGGCAAAGATGAGAACCTTACAATTCTATTAATGAGATTCATTTAAACAGAGGATCCACTAAGGAAATTTAGCATGTGGGAGGGTTGTTGGGGTAGGTTTTTGATTGTTGTTTCATTGGTTACCCAACTGATGTCTTGGCAGGGATTTATGGGTCAAAATAAGGCTGTATCAGAGACCTACCAATTATGCTCCTGACAATGTAGCCTAGTATCTTCACTAATCTATTCTCATATAGAAAGGGTGTAATTATTTCAGGCAGCAAAGGATAAACAATATTTGGGGGCATGACACATATTGAGGCCAATAGGGCACCTCGCACATTGTTTTCAGACCAGTAGGCAAGTCAAAACAGAGACATCATGTTAGCATGATCCCCCAACCTCACCCTGGGAAATTAAATAGGCACGAAGTAGTCAAGTACTTCCTGCTCACCTAGCAGTTTGAAAGCACCCTTAAGTGCAAGTAGATAAATAGGTACCACTTTATAGCGGGAAGGTAAACGGCGTTTCCGTGTGCTGCTCTGGTGCCGGTTCGCCAGAGGAGCTTCGTCACGCTGGCCACATGACCCAGAAGTGTCTGCGGACAGCGCTGGCTCCCTGCCTCTAGAGTGAGATGAGCGCACAACCCTAGAGTCTGTCAAGACTGGCCTGTACGGGCAGGGGTACCTTTACCTTTACCTTTAGTCAAGTACTATGCAACCTGCTTCCAATAATCATAAGGAAAGAAACAGAGGGAGGGTAGTAAACGGAGGCCAGTTTGATCTTCCTGTCTACCTCTTTGACAATATTCCATTTAGTTAATGCTGGGTGCATGCAAATACACTGTCCAGATAGATTCTATTTTTTGCGTTTTTTATTTTATGCACGGGGGTGGGTGAACTTTTGTGCATTCTGCATGTTCTGCTGCCATTTTAAAATTGTACTCCTTTTATTAGCATTTTATGGTCCTTTAAAATCAGGTTTGCTGAAATACATGATGTTGGGTGTTGCACAGAATCGTGCCCTGCAAATTGCATCACAATATTTCCAAGAATTACAGCGATTATACAGCGTTATCAGGAAACTTGCAAACAGGATGTGAAAGCAAGGGTGTCCCTTTGCTCAGTCAATAAATATTAATAGATTTGGACCCAGTTTTCATGGACTCCCTGTGTGGCTTTTGTCCAGTCGTTCTCATGTGAATTCATGTGATCTCTTTCCACCCCCCCAAAAGTAACCTGTTACACTAGTGCTACATGTATGCAGCCTTATGCACAAGGAGATTGGTATCTGAGAAAGATAATTTTAAGTTTTCATGCCCTGCCCTTTTCAGATTAAGGGGACCTACAGAGAGTGCTGTGCCCATGCAGCCTCCAAATCAGCATTTCCAACCCCTTGTTGTGTGTTGTCATACTAGTGTATAATCTCTTGGGGCTGGTTTTTGGGCTGCAGTGACCTGATGATGGCCTCACTTGCTAGGTCTTTGGAGCTGGATACGTCAGCTGCCTGGCTTGGATATGCTTCCAGTCTATTTGATTGTACAGCAACTTACCTGGCAAACTGAAGACTAGAGTCTGAGCTTGGCTGTCTTCAACCGGTTTAATCTTTCCCCTCCTTTTGGCCTCTATCTATTTGGGCTACAAGTTAGCAGCAGAAAAGGATGGCCTTAATAGCTTGTGAGGTGGTAAATCCCGGAGTCCTCTACAATATTTTCAACGCATCAGCTCCTGCTGATCTAGAACTGGTCTCCTGAGATTCTGGAAGAAATGCAGTGCAACTTAATTCAAGGGATGCTGAACTCATTGTGCTATAGAGATCCCTGTTTGCCACAAACAGATAATTGTAGTTTGCTTCCTTAGTAATTTGACTGCAACGCTGAAGACTTTGTCTCAGCCTCAGACACCTGTTTGAGACTTTTAATCTTTTTGTCTCTTTAAATATCAATGCAGTATTGCTAGGAAAGAATGATTAACGGGCGGCAATGCATACCATCTTGTTCTTCTATGGCTCATATTTATCTGGTGATCTACATAAAGAGGTTGTTAGTGCTGCTCAAGTTATTAAATTTTCACAGAACAAAGCGTACGGCTCCTTTTCACAGTTCTTGGCGTTTCCCCTCGCTTAAAATATGTGAGATGCATATGATTGATTTTCCCATTAGAACACATCACAGAACTCAAGCGCCGAAACAACTTCTCTGCACCATTTTACTAAAAAAAGTGAAGCACGGTTTCTATGCAGATTATTTCTTTCTGCCCAGGAGAGGCATATTTTCTGTGCTTTTTGTTTATGCCGCTCTGATCCATGTTTTTCTGGATGTGTCATACGAGAACAGATGGTGGATTAAGGTCTGAGGTAGAGATAAAAAGGAAACTCACAGAGAATCATTAAAATCTGGAATCAGGGTGGTAGTGAGTTTTGGTGGCATCAAAGAAAACGACTTAAGCAGCCTGTGCTGCCCTACATCATAATGTGGATGTAGTGTTTTAGCAAGACATTGGATAAGGGCCGGTCCTACCATGAGAGAGACTGAAGTAGCTGTTTCAGGTGGCAAGCATGGGGCACTGTTTAAAAAGCAAAAACAAACTGACTGCTGTTTATTTATTTATTTTTATTGTAGGAGCATGAGGCGTCATTCATCTGGATTTTTTTAAATCCATGCCATGTGGGGCTGAGGAGGGAGGGGCATACTGAACCAATCACCAACATCTCTTTATATAGCAAATAAAAGACAAAGTAATATCCTCCAACAAAATCCAGTTTTAGTAATGAAACTTCAATGATTTCGGAGGCAGAAGACCTGCAAGCAACCCAGGCCTCACAACACCCTGTACTAATTTGATGAATGAGGAAACAAGCTGCATAGACAGCACTGCAGTTTTGTGACTTGCCAGTGTGCCACGGGACACCTCCTTGAGTAGGGAGAGCAACAAAGGAGGAACCTTCATTCAGATCAGTGGCGTAGCGTGGGGGGTGCAGGGGGGGCCGGCCGCAACATCTGGGGGTTAGGGTTAGGGGGCGCAAATCCACGGGTTAGGGGGCGCAAATTACTTGCCTTGCCCCGGGTGCTGACAACCCACGCTACGCCACTGATTCAGATGGATCTTCTACATGGATTTTTCGTGGCGTTGCCTTCTAATATTGCAGTGGAAGGATCAGTATGTCCTGTTCCAAATATGTTCTTTCTGGCACAGCAAGAATTTGGAAAGAAAGGGAGGGAGGGGAGCCCACTGTAAGCAGCTCATGGCAGCACTTTCCCTTCCCATCCTGCTCCTCCCAAGGTGACCCATTCAGGCTCTGATGTGGATTCCTGCAAGGGCTGACTTCCACATCTTGGCTCAGTCACTGTGCCTCTTGTGCCCTCTAATGGCTTAGACTGTCATCACAGCATGACAAAAGACCAGTGCATATATTGTATAGCAAGAAATATGTCTTTTTGAAAACCAGGCTCCACCCACACCAGCCAGTATCTAAATCCCTCCCTGAATGTGAGGCAGATGCATCTCTCAGGGTGAAGAGTTTGTAGCCTTCCACATGTTGCTGGAATCTAATTCCCATCAGTCCCGGTCAGAATGGCAAATGGTCAGGCATAGTGGGAGCTATAGTTTAGCAACATCTGGAGAGCTGCAGTTTCCTCACTCCTCATCTATATGCATATGAATGATCTCTAAGGCAC